GACACGGGGACCGGCGCGCGGTGTTCGAGGCCTACGTCAAGAACATCCTCAACGAGGAGCGCGCCGCCAAGCGCGCACGCGCACAGGTTCGCCCTCTATTACCGCTCGTTCTTCTTCGCTCGACCGCTGACGGTTTCACTGACTCGCACCACCGCACACGCACCACCGCACACGCACACGCACACACAAGGCGGCGAAGGAAGGATTCGAGCGGCTGCTGGAGGAGGTGCGGGCAACGCTGACGGCCGACACCAAGTGGTCCGACTTCGAGCGGACCGTGGAAGCCGACCCGCGGTTCAAGGCCATGGGCGAGACCTCCGCCGATCGTAAGGAGCGCCGGGCCCTCTTCGACGCTGCCGTCGCCCCGCTTCGCCAGGCCAAGGAGAAGGGTACGCGCTCGCACGTGCAATGTGTGCGGCGCGTGCGACCTGGACTAACGACACGACACGACACGACACGACACGACACACAATCATCTCCAGGCGCGCAGGAGGCGCACAGAGCCTTCTGGGAGCTGCTGGAGGAGACCCCCGACATCGTCCCCGACTCCCGCTGGTCCAAGGTTCGCCCAGTTCTCCCCGTTCGCCTTGCTCTAGACCAACAGCGTGTGTGCGGTGTGTGCGGTGTGTGCGGTGTGTGTGTGTGTGTGTGTGTGTGTGTGTGTTGTGTGTGCGGTGTGCGGCGGTGTGTGCGGTGTGTAGGTGAAGAGGTTGCTGGAGGGCGACCCGCGCTACGGGGCGGTGGGGTCGTCGCACGAGCGGGAGGAGCTGTTCGGCGAGTACCTGGGCTCGATCTCCGATGCGGTCCGCAAGCGGCAGCGGATGGCGAGCGCCGAGGAGCGGCTCAAGGAGCGCGAGCGCGAGGTGCGCCGGCGGCGCGAAAAGGAGGAGCGCGAGATGGACGAGCAGCGCTCCAAGGTGCGCTTCGAAGAGGCCGTCGCCCACTTCGAGGCCCTCCTCAGCGAACGCGTCAAGCACCACGACGTACGCCTCATATTTAATTTGAATTCTTATATTTATCTCAATATTTCAATTTAGATATAATTATTTATATATTATTGAAATAGCTAATGTTATTCTGAAATTTATTTTGGAATATTTTGGGGCAGGCGTCGTGGAGGGAGAGCAAGCCGGCACTGTCGGGCGACCGACGCTACTCGAGCCCGCTGCTCACGTCGGAGCAGAAGGAGGCCCTCTTCCGCAAGCACCTCCAGAAGCTGATGACCGTACCACCGACCCACCCACTCTTCGTTGGCCCGGTCAGCCTCACCAAGTTGTGCGTGTGTGGTGTGTGTGGTGTGTGTGTGGTGTGTGTGGTGTGCGTGCGTGTGTGCTGAGTAGGATCGGCTGGTGCAGTTCAAGGGGCTGCTGGCGGAGACGGAGAAGATCCACATGGCGAGCTCGTGGGAAGACGCCCGCGAACTGATCCAGGACGATCCCCGCTGGAGCCGCGTACCCGACGACTCAGAACGCAAGAAATTGTACGCGCGCGTATCGTGTGTGTGCGGTGTGTGCGGTGTGCGGTGTGTGCGGTGTGTGGTGTGTGCGGTGTGTCGTGTGTCGTGTCGTGCTGATGGTGGGGTGTGTAGGTTCTTGGAGCACGTGCGGGAGCTGCACGAGAGGGCGACGCAGGACTTTCTGATGCTTCTGGACGAGACCAACAAGGAGACGATGGCCATAAGCGCCACGACCACCGTGGCCGACTGGCCCAAGATCGAACACCTCGTCCGCGTACGACGCCTCGAAGCGGCCTTCCTCTTTTCTTTCTCACCTTCCCCCCCCCACTGACACCTGCGCGTTTGTGTTGTGTTGCGTGTGTGTCGTCGTGTTGTGGTCGTGCGGTGCTGTTGTGGTCGTGAAGGGCGACAAGCGGTACAGGACGTTCAGTGTGAGGCCAGAGGAGCGGGTGCGCTTGCTGGAGGCCTACATTGCAGGCGACCGGCCCAAGACCGCCGAGGACAAGAGGGTCGCCTCTGCTTGAGCATGTTAACCAAAAAGCACCAAAAAGCAAAGCCAACCTGTGGCCACCTTTACGAGCGCAGACCATCAGCTGACAACACCCACCGCATGAATCTCGCAATGAACCTCACCGGCATGTCCATGTGGTGTCTCATCGCCTACTGGATGTACTGCCACAAGTTTTTTATCAGCATCTGAGTTTTTCAAAGAGTGAAGGTGTTGGATTCACCAACAAAGACCTTGCCCATGTCACCAACCTTCAGAAAGTGTTCAAGGCACAGAAGACCCTTCTCCACCTCAGACTCCTCATGGCACAGCACCATGAGGAGCTCACCACTGTGATTGGCACCCTTGCTATGGCTGCCTCTACATGAAAAACAGCCAAATGGTGGCCTTTTTTGCACAGATACTTGATTTTTGTGCAAGGGTCACTGACCCTTTTTCATGAACACTTGGTTTGAAGTTGTCCACTGCAGTGAGACATGTGCCCAGAGTGTTGGGCTGGCTGTAGTTTTGTTGTCTACTAAATTTGTGTCTGTGTTGCACTTCACCTACCTTCATGGCAATGGCAGGGCCTGACAGGATACACTTGCCTTGTGTTGCTGTACCAATGCTGCTTTCATGACATGTAAGGAATGCTGTCATGACATGTCGAATAGAATAGTGGGTGCGACTGTGCGAACAGCGACCTGGGCTTCTTTCACCAGCGACCCAAACACAACACACCACAACATCATCAACAACAACAACGTTCACTAACTCAACGCCTACGAGCACCCCCACCACCGCCCTACGACCTGCCAAAGATGGAAGACACGCACACAGAGCATCAGCCGCTAATCGACCAGGAGATGAGCAGACAGGAGGAAGAACATCAGGTGCCAGAGACACATGAGGAAGAAGAGAGGCGCCCGGTCGTGCTGTACAAGGGCATCCAACAGAGGGAGGCCAGCCAGCTGCAGTGCCCCATCCACAAGGGGCTCATGCACGACCCGGTCGGCACGGGCAAGTGCAAGCACGTCTTCTGCCGCTCGTGCCTGGCCTCGTGGGCCGCGCTCCAGGGCCACTGCCCGCTCGACGCCCGCCCGGCTCAGCTCGTCCCCGCCGACGCCGCTGTCGAGAAGCTCAACAGCCTCCTCATCCACTGCAGGGTTCGGCTCCCGCCCAGACCACCATCATTGGAGTGAATGACAACTAAGCGTGTGTGTGGGTGTGTGTGGTGTGTGTGGTTCAGTGGGGTGTTGTTCAAGACGAAGAGACTGGCGCATGGGTGGCGGCCAGCGGCGAGGGCTACTGCCCGGCGCTGATCACCATCGGCGACCGCAAGGCCCACGAAGACAGCTGCGCCTACTGCCCTGCGGTTCTGCAGTCGGACGAGGCCACCGGGAGAGCCGCCGGCCAGCTGATGAACCGGCTGCAGTTCCCGCAGGTGCAGGTCAACGTGGAGGTCATGCACGCCCTCAGGGAGGAAGACAAGGAAGACGACGAGGAAGATGAGGAAGACGACCAGGAAGACATGGAAGACTATGACAGTGGAGGAGAAGAAACTGAAGTAGAAACTGAAGAATATGGAGAAAGCGACGAGGAAATAATAGAGACTGAACAGAAGACAGACAAGGAAGAGCTGGAGAGGATGGCAAGTGCAGCAAAGAAGGGAGGCGATTTGCCAGCACCTTTCGCGATTTGGGTAGACGAGGAGGAGGCCACAGAGCTGGCTCAGAAGAGAAGTCAGGAGGTCAAAGCGAGACGTGAGGAAAGGCGGAAGAAGATGCTGGAGCAACTTAGCCTGCCTGCGTGGCGAAGAGTGTGGTACGATGAGGAAGACGAGGAAGACGACGAACAGCACAATCAATAAATCCATGGTCAATGCAGTTTTCGAATTGTTGTGTTTGGGGGTCATCTTCACTCGAGGGCGGCTCGTTTGGTGGGTCGCGTTGGTGGCGCCTGTGGCAGCTTCATCCCGACCTCCTCCCAACCTCGCTTCCGGCCAGCCTGCGGCGACGCAGTTGCCGACGACGACGACGACGACGACGAGGAAGACGAAGACGAGGAGGACATCATCTTCTGCTGCAGCATGTGCTGCTGATGTTGATGTTGCTGATGGAGGTGCTGTTGTTGCTGCTGCATGGCGTGTTGTGACTCGGCTTGGGTGGCGGTGGCGGCGAGCAGCGCCTGCGGCGGCGGCATGTCGTCTTCGAACAGGGCCGCGGCGTAGGTGAGCTGCCGCCGCGGCTGCAGGGCGCCGCCAAAGAGCGAGGGCGCCAGCAGGGTGTCGTCCCAGTCCTCGAGCAGCTGCCACGGGTCGACGGCGACCGTGGGCGGGCCGACGGGCAGGCCGCTGCCGCCGGCGGCGAGCATGACCGACGGCGAGAGGGGCGACATGAGCGACGACGAGGGCGAGGCGGACGACGACGGCGTGTGCGGCGACTGGGGCATGCCGCCCGTCGATGACGCGCCACCGGTGGCCGGGTTCGGGTAGCGCACGACGCGCACCACGCTCGAGTTGGCGGTGCGCTGGTGGAGGAACGGGAAGTAGCGCTTCATCAACTTCCGCTTCGCGTCGGGCAGCGCCATGATCATCTTCTTCGAGTCCTCCTGTTGGTCGTGGTGGTTGGTACGTATCATTGTTTTGTTAAGAAGGCTGCGCACAAAACAAAGAAAAAGAAAGAAAAAGAAAAAGAATGATGACGTGGCTTATGTACCTTAAGTCGCTGTCGCAGGGTGGAGGAGATGGACGAGTCGTCGACCTCCTCCTCCTGGTCGTCGGCCCCGGACCCGCCGGCAGCCGCGACGCCAAAGCCCGACGTCGGCCGCCCGCCGGCGCCAGCACCACCGGCGCCGCCAACGCCGGCGTAGAAGAAGAAGCCCGAGGCGGCGGCGCTGATGAGCTCCTCGCCGTAGTGGTGCACCAGGGCGTGCACCAGGTCGAGCAGGTCGCGGAACAGGTCGTCGTCATCGGGCACCAGCAGGAAGGTCTTGCCGAAGAACTTGAACAGCGTGAGCACGAGGTCGTCGACGTATTTACAGCTGGCGGCGGCGGCGGCGGCGGTGGTGGTGGCGGCGGCGGCCACGACGACCGTTCGGTTCTCTTTCTTGAGCAGGAGCGGCAGCAGGGCGATGATGAAGCGCAGCCGCATCCACAGGCCCTGCTTGGCCAACCACACGCGGCCCGGGTCGAGGAGAATGGCGGTCGACGAGGTGCGGTCGCCCTGGAGGAGGGCCTTGAGCTGGGCCGTGAGCGACTGCACAAAGGCCTGCTTCTGCTCGGTGGTGGTCTGCAGCAGGCTCGGCGTCACCATCTCGATGAAGGCCTCCTGCAGCTGCATGTTGGCCTTCAGGTGCTCCATCAGCGACGTCGACCCCGTCGTCTGGGCCTGCTGCATCACCATTCCTGACATTCTCGCTGCTGACGTGTCCACGCCGCCCTCGGCGCACCTGTGTTCACACACCCCCGAGGTAAGCCGCATTCCTGAAATTGCTTTGGAGTGGGGGGAGGAGGGCGCAGGCGTACACTGAGGCGAGGTGGTCGTAGAAGGAGACGACGCCGAGCAGGGCGTCGCGCGCCTCGAGGATGGTCTGTACATGGCGGAAGAAGTCCTTCTCGAAGTGGACGCCCAGCAGGCACACCAGCTGCCCGAACACGGACGGGCTCATCTCCTCGCCGGCCCCGAAGTGGTTGCCCAACAGCCGCGCCAGCAGCCTGTTCATCAAAAACACCCGACTCCCTCCCGGAAGCTGCCACACATTCCACATTCCCGATTGCCACCAGGAATGTCAGCCATTCCCTTTCCCGCGGTGGTGTGTGTGCGTGTGCGGGCGTACGTCGTGGCCGGGACTGGCGAAGGAGGACCGGTCGATGTTGGCCATCCAGTCCAGGAGGTGGCCGGCGGTGAGCTGGAGGGTCCACACGTTGAGGCTGTCGAGGATGAGGTTGAGCGTCTCCTCGGCCGAATGGCCCAGCGGTGTCTTGGGCGACATCCGTGGCGTCACCGGGGTCTTGTGCATCATCGACTGCACACCACTCCCATCAGTCGTGCTGCGCGCGTGTGCGGTGGTGCGTGTGCGGTGGTGCGTGTGCGGTGGTGCGTGTGCGGGAGGAGAGCCATACAAAAGAGGGGCTGCCCTCTTGCATCTGCTGGATGCTGGCGGCCATGAAGTCGCTCTTCTGCATCTGCTTCTCCTGCAGCCAGGCCACAGTCTCCTCGCATTCCGAGTAGCGGCTCAGCAGCTCCGCCAGGTAGGCCTGCAGATACATCTGCAGCTCCATCGGACCCCGCTCCTGCTGTGGGCGCGCCAACATGTCGCACACTATCAGCACACAACATACGACACACAACAACAGCGCAACGATTTCCCAATGGCAGTGTAAGCGAGCGAGTACCGGAATGGCGTCGACCCTTCGCGAGCTCAGAACGTCCAAGAGCGACGTCAGGGCATTCTGGCTCACGAACGCTCCCTCGTGCTGTCATGTTTACAAGTCAAATGAAATGAAAAGTGAAAGAAATCCAAGAGTCAATATCCCACACAGAACGGGCGGTGAAGAGTTGTGGGGGGGGGGTGAGGGTACGTCTTTGGCAACGGCCAACAGGGGCGCCAGGTAGGTGGCCGGCACGCAATTGATGAGGAAGAGCAGCAGACGGGCCAGCGCATTGAAGTCCTGCGCCTGGTCGAGCACTTGGAACACGTGCTGCAGGTCGACGTCCGTACACCGCCACGTCGTGTCACCTCCGGCACTCCTGCATGCGCCGCCACCGCCATCATCATCACCACCACCATTGCCATCAGCAAACCCACGCAGAAAAGGGCAATCGCACGGTGTCCGGGGGTAGAATGGGTGGGTACCCGTTCAGTTTGGGCGAGAAGCACGTTCGCACGCAATTCGAGAGCCATTCGGCCATGAGGCACAGGTAGTATCGCGGGGTGTTGGCCATGAGATGCGAAAACGTGTCCTTTATCCGCTCCCTGTAGGTTTGTTTTGATCAAACGTTGAGTGTTCTCCGCGCGCGCGCACAACACACACACACACACAACACACACGAGCAACGTACGTGTCGCCCTGCAGCGACTCGGCAAGCTCGTGTTCGACGTGTCGGGCGATGTCGAAGAGGAAGGAGTGGTGGAAGGGCAGGCCGACCTCGTCGGAGAGGAAGGCCGAGTCGCGGACGAGGTCGGCGGCAAAGGCCGGCGAGGGCCATTGGAAGGGCGACGAGGGGATGCCCTGCGGGTTGAGATAGAGCGATGTACATTTCAACACTCGCACCGCATTCACCACGTCCTCCTACAGATCATTACAACGCGCACGACACGACACGCACAAGGGTGAGTTTGTTGCAATGGGTGGTTTGACGGGAGAAACCGTCGGGTTCATACCTTGACCCGGTCGAGTCCAAACAAAACGACTCGTCGCTGGTTGTGCTCGTGGCGGTAGTGCCCGGGTATGGGAATATCCCGTAGATACCGCCGGTACCGCTCCGCCTTTTCCTGTGTTGTGTGGGCCAAGCCGGGGTCGTGAGTCGAAGAAGAAGCGCTTGATCGGCGTCCACAACAGCGGAATGGAGGAGTTACCTGGTCAGGCCACGAGGGCTCGAACACGCCCGAAGCGATGAGGTGTCGTACGAAGGCGTCATGAGAAAAGAGGTCGTGTCGAATCAGCTCGCCAAAGAACACCACAATCTGCTGGCCCTCTGTAAATAAAGAACATTATTATAAGAACTATATTATTATAATCATATAAATAAATATATAAATGTTAATATCAATATGTGATGAGTGGCGTACCATCTTCGGACCTGTCCTTCTCCAGGAAGGTCAGGAGCAGGCTCTGCAGCTGTGGCCGGTGCTTGGTCTTCCGCTCGACGATGTCGCAGTGTCGCCGGAGCACGGCCGCCGCGGTGAACGCTCGATAGGGCACCTCCTTGCGATGCCGCGTCGTCGCCCATCTACAGATCATCTTGATGATCTCCAAGTCGATTCCCTGCACGGGCGCAAAGGGGCACGTATGAGAAATCAAACGTGGCTTGATTGGCAGGGCATGCAGGGCGGCGCGCACGACACGACACGACACACGCACGGGCGGCGCGCACGACACGACACGACGCACGCACGGGTCCGTACATTGTCCGCTGCCCCGAGTGAATGTTCACACCACGAAGGGAAAAGTCGCCTGTACAAAGTGGTGATGCTGACGCCAGGCTTGCCAAACGAGTCGAGCAGCTGCGTTGCCAAGTCGGCCGAGCAATAAACAACGCGTCGCGTCGCGTCAGCGTTGCAATCGAAAGAAAAAAGAAAGATAAAAAAAGAGAAAGGCCGCGAGCGAGAGAGAATCGACCACGCTTCAGAGAAGAGTGCAATGGAGGAACGAATACCTCGACAACGGTGGCCATGGTGAGGTTCGTCGAACTGTAGCTCGGTGGCGATCGCACGTTCGCGCGAGCCTCGTGCAGGAGGCGCTGGGAGTGAGGCAGAAGGTGAGCGACTCGACCTGCAGGTCGTAGCGGTGAGGGGCGAGGTACGTTGTATTTCGCAAATACGGGAAAATTGTCGTGCTGCTCGCCGAGCCGAATGGCCTGCAGTGGCACGAGCAGCTCCTTGTCGATGTAGTACAACACGTCTGGCGGCACCACCTGCAGCAAACACCAAACAAACACCACCGTAAATAACAATCATAGCAACAAATACTAATAATATCAACAATAATAATCCAAAGAGAAAAAGGCGAAAAGTGGGTGAAGGTGGCGAGTACCTGGATGGCATAACGCAAAACATTAGACACGCTTTTGTACAAGTAGTTTCGGCTCTCCCAGTCACTGGATACATCTCCGCCCAGTTCGGACGAAAGCTGTTCCCGACCACGACCCAGGTCAGCCCTCCGCAGTTCACACCACACACCACACACCACACACACACCGACGAGGAGGGAAGCAACGAGGATCGGAAGAGTGACGCACCTTGGAGAGGGTGGCGATGGAATACTTCACGAGTCGCTTCACTCGTGGCTTCCACTTGCAAATGTCGTATAAATATTGGAAAACGATAGAGAGGATGAGGGACTGGTCATCGAAGGCCGACGCCTTGGAATCGGAGGCGAGCGCCGGGCCGCCGCCAGACGTGGTCGAAGACGAGGAAGAAGAGGAAGATGATGAAGAGGAGGAGGAGGAGGATGTGTAGGTGGTCAGCTTCTCGACGAGTCGATCCAGAAGCATTTTCCGTATGAGCAGTCGTTCGGTGAAGTTCCAGTGAATGAGCTTGACGACGTAGGAAAACTTGGAGTACCACGCCTCCAGCTTGGCCTCCTCCTCGCTCAGCTGTGGCGTCGCTGTCGACGATGTCAGCGACGATGTCGTGCTCTCCTTGTCGGCCGCGTCGACCACGATGCTGGCCAGCATGATGGGCCGCGCCTCGCTCTTGACCGACGACGACGGCCCGCCGTCCTCGGGTGTGGCCGGCGCCGGCGTTTTGATCGGCTGCGAGGGCGAGGGCGAGGGCGATAGCGTGGCCCCATGAGGCAGGTGGGTCGCCGGCATCGTGGCTGGCGTCGACGATGAAGAGGTGGAGGTGGACGGAGAGGTGGAGGTGGTTGTAGAGGCGGCCGACGAGGGCGGCTTTCGTCGGAAGCGGAGTGTCGACATGAGGTACTTGCTGGCCTGTGCACTACTGATGGCCATGCCGTTGCGTTCGGCCAGGAGGTCGAACAGATAGTCGACGATCGTTTTCGTCCAGTCCTCGGACGCATTCACGCGATTCCGCTAATCAGAACCAAAGAGGGACCCGAGTCAGCAAATACATAAATAAGTAAATAAATAACACTGAACATAAGAGAAGAATGTAAATAAATAGATAATCGGACAAGTACCTTGTTCGCGGCCTTCTGTCGGTTGTTGTTGAGCTGCACGATCTTGATGTACCACGTTGCTCGCAAAAGCGGCACCTTGCGCACGGCCAACACCTCCAACAGTTGATTATTGCGGTATCTGCGTGCGCAGGTTAGGTAGACGAAGGTCAGCAACAACTGATCAACTGAGCGTCGGCAGAAGCGGTGGTTGGCTACCCATGAGGCACACGGCTCGCCAGGAGGTGAAGCGGCTCGGATTCGGCCAAACTCTGAATGAACGGCTCCTTGTGCTGGATGGGCAGGAGCACGGGGAGCTTGTTGGTTCGACTCTTCGCGCTCTTGCGCTCCTTGAGAGCGCTGAAGGCCGAAAGCTGAAAGGGAAAAAAGTGCCAAGTGTGATGAGCTATGATGCATCGGGGTCATCAACCGTCATCGGCCCTCCACCACCGCGGAATAGAAAGTGTCGCTCCCAATTGTGTGACGAGAGCGAATGCACGTACATCCTTCCGGGGTCGGCACTTCATCATCCAGTTGGCCTCGTTGACGACCTTGAGCATCTGCGCCTTGGTGGCTAAGCACAGCGCCTCCATGTCTTCCTCGGGCTGCTTGGGAAAGAAAACGGTCCTCATCGTGCCAAACTCGTTCTGTTTGCAGATAATCACAAATGTTAGCGTGAGTGTCGCGCTGTGTCGTGTCGTTGGTCGTGTCGTTGGTCGTGTCGTTGGTCGTGTCGTTGGTCGTGTCGTTGGTCGTGTCGTTGGTGTGTCGTGTCGTGTCGTGTCGTGCCAAGTGAACCGAACAGAACAAAACAGCAATAGCGTACGGAGACAGCGGAAGGCTCGTGGTAGCCACCCGAGATCGCGGGACGCGCGAACTGTTCTTCGCCCGCAGTTGGAACGAGAGGGTAGTAGCCGGGTACGTCGAGGCTGTCGCTCAACTGCTTTCGGTCTGGCGGACGCGTCAGTGTGTACTTCTTGGGCGGTGGGTATTGCGACGTCATGGGCTGCGGCATGGCAGGAGGGTTGCTGTAGAGCTGTGGCGGCTGTGCAGTCGCGCTGCCTCCCTGCGCCGGCCTGTACACAGACGACATTACGATGATTAAAACAATAATTCGATCTATTTAAATGGTGATTTTTCCCTCATCAAAGTAGTAATTAAAAAGAAATGAATTATGTGAGATGGGTGCGTACCCGCGAGGCGGGTAGACGCGGCCGGCGGGGGGCTGGGTGTAGGACGATGGATTGTGATAGGCATGCGGATGCTGCGGCTGCGGAGGGCCTCCATGTGATGGATGGGCGGAGTGCGAATGCGGATGCTGAGAATGAGAGGGGTGCTGGGGGTGCTGAGCGTGGGGGTGAGCAGCATGCGGGTGTGGCTGCTGCTGCGGGGCTCCATGAAGTTGGTGGTGATGGTGTTGAGGCGGGAGGGATTGGTGTTGAGGCGGGTAGATGTGTGCAGTGGGGACCTGCTGCTGCGCATGAGGCGGCATTACCCGCCCCTGCTGCTGGGGCAAGTACCCACCAGGCGCTGCATAGGGTGGTCGATAACATCCATTAGCCGAGATGGAAGGAGGGAAGGTTGCATTGCCTTGCAGGCTACGATTTGATTAATTTGTAAAATTAAAAGCATTAACGTTGCACTCGCCCCATTTACTCGTAGGAGTTGATGGAGACAAGCCACCCGCATCGCGCAGAGCAAACGAAGGTCAAGGTACCGGGATCTTTGCGCTGTTGCTGCTGGTAGTTCCCTCCTCTTCTTCCTCCCCCTCCGCCCCCGCCCGTGGCGGATCGATTATACATTTTCGTGCGTTGGATTTCCTGCAGAGGAGCACCCTCTTTCTCCCTCTCTTTGCTGGCGCCGCCTCTCCCCTGCCGCGACCACCTTCTTTCCAATCCTTTGCTAGCACGTTCCAATCTCGCTCTCGGTGGCGGATCCTCGCAGCCCTTTCCCAAAGTCTTTCCGCCAGCACAGCAATTTCGGTCCTTGGCCCCAAATTTCGCCAAGTTCGCTCTTTTGGGGATCACTGTCGCTCCGCACCCTTCCTTGTGCTGTCAGCTGACCGCCTGACCGTCTGCACCTTTGCTCGTCGGCCCACCAGAAGAGCAAAGGAGCCACGGAGCATGCGCCTCTCGGTGCTCCCTGTGCACCCGCGGCCGCGAGTTGTCAAGGCACGCAAACAGGTGCCCAACACATCTGGAATGTGAGGAATTCGCAGCTCTGCTGTTTCGCGCCAAAACGGGCAACTGAAACACAACACACCAAGGCAAGGACAGGAGTCGTCTATCGATCAGTAAGAAGAAAAGGTAAAGGTGATCGAGATCTGGTACCGCGCACAATGGAGGAGACATCGGCACTACACACTACTTTGGGCCTCCTTCCGCCCGCCGTGGTGATTGATTCCCTTCGCTACGTGTCCGCACGGCCTCTGCCTAAGACCACGCCCCAAGACCACATCCGCCGACTCGTACGCACTCGTCAGCTCTTTCGCATTGCTCAAATTTAACATTTCCCTCTTCATCAACGTAGATCAAGGAAAGCAGGGAAATCGGAGCTGAGGTACTCCCTCCATGGCCAGTTGATTGGGTGAACATTTATTAACATTATTTCCCCCCTCCATTGATCCATTCAAATCAAACAGCAATTCGTGGCCCGCCTCAAGTACGTCCTCCCGTGGTACGCCAGGTCTCTGCGTGTGGCTAATCCGCACGAGCAGGAAGCCGACGCAAGCGGCGCTGCTGAGCGATCTCGTCGACGTGGAAGAGGACGAGGACGATGTCGCCGATAGGCTCGAGAAGGAGCTCAAGAAGGACCTCACCAGCTCCGGTACGGCTGCTGCGAGCCTCCTTCGTTGTTGCCTTGATGTGGGTATGGTGTACTAACCCACACATGTAGACCCGTCTGCCACCTTCAAGCAGGTGAACGGGAAGGTGGTCAAGGCGTGCGCGACCGAGCTGATGCTCGACCCCAGCCAAGAGTACGACACACGCACCGCGCTGCCCTGGCGACATCCTGTCGTGTGCCATTCCTCTCTCTGACAGTGTGTTGGTCGCAGCTTGGAGGAGCTCAAGGCTCTGCTCGTTGACGAGATTATACTCACGGGGATGGAGACTCTCTTCACCATGTACGTCGACGCCGCTTCGCCCAATTCAATTCCTCTGGTTGCGTGGCTGATCCCCCTCCTCGCCACCAGATTGCCTCGATCGGTACTCGACCAGTACTGCGCGCACTGGAAGCTGGAGCGTACGGGCGGCAAGGCTGGCCTCGTCGCCCGGCTGCTGGCTCACCTGTTCGATCTCGACCTCGACGACCAGGTCGAAGCCGCCGCCGCTGAGTCCGACGAACCGGAGAGCGATGAGATGGAGGTCGAGGCGGTGGCCAAGTCCAAGCCCAAGAAGGAGCAGGTGGTCGCAGCGGTGAAGAAGGCGCCTGGCCTGACGAAGAAGACAAAGGCGACCAAGAAGACAAAGAAAATGAAGGAGAGCGATGACGAAAGCGATGGTGATGATGATGATGCTCTCAGCGACGAGGACGACGAAGAACAAGAAGAGTGGGAGCGAAGCGAGAAGAAGAAGTTGGCTAAGCGACCCATGGACGGGAAGCGGCCGCTCGTCGAGCCTATCGTCAACTCGCCGGCAGCTGCGAAGGCGACCAAGACCGGGAAGAGGCCGGACCTGGCGACTAGCCGGGCGATGTCACCGCGCACGCCGGCGGCGAAGCCGGCCCAGAAGAAGGCGCTCGCAAAGAAGAAGACGCTGCAGCTGCCGGACGACATGCATGAACTCAACGTCGACATGAAGGAGAGCATGATCGTGCGCAAGTACAAAATGTACGTCTGTGGCTGCACTCTATAACGGCCCACTTCATGGGAAGCTCGGACTGACACACGCGCAACACTACATGTCACAGTGACCAGCTCAGGCAATGCCTCAAGATGAATGGACTGAGCGAGATTGGATTGAAGGCGGCGCTGGCGGCGCGCTTGCACCTCTACATGCTCGATGTGGCCAGGCAGAGCGATGAAGAGAACGCTGACCCCAACTGCATGGAGGACTGAGTCATCCCCTGCCTCTGCCCCTGCGCTCATTGTTTCCCTTCTTTAAAAGGGAGTTGAGGCGTGTACATCTGGCCACTTTAGGTAGTTACCGATTACATTGACCTTCCACCTTCTGTGTTGCACCAACAGCTTGCTTGCGCCACTGCAGGTCCTTCTGGTATGGCTTTTTAGTGATTTACTTGGAAAATAGAGCTAAAAACAGAGTCGACAAGAAAGAGACAACAAAGATGGAGCAGCGGAAGGAGCCGGCAGCCGCCAGCACTACACCGAGCAGTGGTGGCGAGGGTGCAGCGAATGCGCCACTCGTGGATGCTCAGAAGCGGGAGCGATGCTGGGCGGCTCGCGGTACTTAGTCCCCCCCCAAAGCTTGTGTGGTGCCCGCGGAGTCACTATTGACCAAACGGGGGGCCTCATCGTTTCACACCCATGCAGACGCCTACCACGCGTGCATCGACGGCAGCAAGACCGGAGGAGGCGAGGAGGAATGCGGAGCCGCCCTCCGACTCTACGCCGCCGAATGTCCGCGCAGCTGGGTGCGTACGCCGAGCGCGTTGCTGCCGTTTGGCCGCGACGTACTTCTCTGACGCGTGGGTGGTTGTGTCAACACAGTTGCTGCACTTTGAGAAGCGACGAAAGGCCGACCAGGAGCGGAGCGCGAGAGAGGCTGCCTACCAGAACCGCCAGCGCGGGTGAACGCTCAGCTCAGCGCAGCGAATGAATGAATGAATGAACGTGGTGCGTGTTGGCTTTTTGAGAAAGAACAAGAAAGCTGAGTGATTACTGCTGCTGATGCTGCTGCCCTGACTCGGAGCCCTCGGAGGAGTCCGTCTTCCTCTTGCCCTGGCCCACGTCGAGACCCGCGGAGGCGAGCTCGTCCTCGCGCATCTGCTCGATCCTCTTCCTGAGGTCGGCTCGCGAGCGCACGATGGCGAACTCGGGGTGCTCCGCGATGAAGGCGTTACCCGGGTCCTTCTTCAAGATGCGCGTCACCACCGTATTCTTCCTCTTGCTCCACTTCTTGCTCTGCCTGCAATGCTCGAAGGTTAGCCGAATGCGAAGCTCCACCCAACAACCACAACAACACCAACAAGGTGGACAAGAGGGTGTGGTTAGGGCTGCAAAAAGAAGACGGACCTGATCTCTACAACGTCGCCGGGCTCGCAGATCTGGTCCTCGTCGTGGGCCATGAAGCGTGTCGTCCGTCGCACAGCCATGTGCTTGCCGTACTTCATCGAACGAACCCAGTAGGGGACCTAGCCGTGGGCACAGAACGCACGTACGTCACAGCAAACAGCCATGAACACACGTCAGCAGCTGGCCCTGGAGAACACGGCTCGCCGGCCCGACGCGGACGGGAGAGGCACTACACCAAAGAGAAGAGAGGCCACACAGGCCACGTACCTCGATCATGGACGTCTTCGCGGTCTTGGTAGAAACGCACTTACCGATGAAGAACGGGCCTGGTCGGTTGAAGGTGTGCTTCAAGGCCTGCAGAGAGATTTAATTGTATTTATAAATGCTCACGATTTTGCTTCGAATTCGAGCGTAATAATCCCCTTGTTAGCATATCAATGAGAAGAATAAAAGAAATTGTACCTTCCAGCGGGGATTGTTGTAATCAACCCAATCATCGACAACAGGGTTGTAGAGCGGATCTCTGGTGCGGCCATCGATGTAAGGCTGAATGGGGTCCTTCCGGAAGGCCGCCTCCTGCTTGTAGGCGTTGGGTGTCATCTTCTCCTCTCCCTCGCCCTCCTTCGGGGCCGATTCGACGGCCGCGGCGCGATCCTCCGTCGATGGGGTGGATGACGTCCATCTTCTCTGCGCAACAGTGGAAAGACGAGGCATAGCAAGCCCCCAGGCATTCGTGCGCGCGGCAGCGACGCCGGCGAAGCGCATAGGCTGCATTACGGCCCTCTTCATCGCGATCAACAAGATTATTTTTATCTTGAACTTTTTTCTCTTGCTCGGGACAAGAAAAGAAAAAGAAATTGTGCATTCACCAAGCTGACGTGGCTCGTAGAACTACTTTGCTGCTTCGATCCTCTCAATTGCAGATCAACGACAGGTTGTTCTGGCTATGGATCCCACGTCGGCCACTCCCACTGGGTTCTCGTATGCGCGGCTCAACTATGGGTCGCCTCTGAAGCCAGCGACGGCGGGCACCCCCTCCACATCTTCATCTGCATCGCTCGTTCACTCCTCGGAGGATCTTCACCACCATAGCCACGCCTACGTGGACGGGACAGCCCCCTCCCGCACCGTCTCAGATTCGAGCATGGATGGAGGAATCCAGACGTACGAGGAATCGTTTACGCCATCGGTCTTCTCATCGCCCGCACACATCGCCGCCTACGCTCAGCAGCAGGGTACTCCACTCCACCTCGCCTCGGTGCACGGGACTTCCTCCACACCGTCCGTAGCAGCTTCTGGCCCTGCCAGCGGTGCGAGCACCCCAGCTGCGTTCTCGTCCTACGTCGTGACGCCGTTTCCCAATGCCCACATGCCCCGATCGCACCAGCTCCAACAAGTCGGTGTGGTGCCCCCTCGTTCGCTGTCGTTTGGCAGTGGCGACGTCGCCACGCAGAGCAGTGGCGGCTCCACCATCATCGACACCGCGTCGTTCCACTCACCTCCGCCTTCTGCTGGCGGCAGCGGCATCATGCCGGCCAGACAGACCTCACCGCGCAGCTACGGCGTCGACCTCGTGAGGCCCGCACAGTCGTTGCCCGCCACAACTCCTGCCTCAGCTGGACACCAGGCCTTCACTGAGGTCGTCGTGCAGCCGACCTCAGACACCTCGGCCGGCGCTGCCACCCCGGCCGCCGCTGCCACCCCGGCCGCCGCGTTCACTCCCTCGCCGCTCGCGCAGTCCCAGCAGCCGCAGCTCGGGTCGCGGCCGACCTTCAATGCACTGCCGTCGGTCGAGCACTGTTCGCCTGATCCCCAGCACCCGTCATTCGTGCCCCCGCAGCGGAGCGTGGTAGGGCTCTCGTCCAAGCGCATCCCCAACCGACAGGAGGTGGCCAGGAAGTCCAGCCTCCCGCTGGGCATGCTCGTCTGCCCGCTGGCGCCGATGCTCAAGCCCACGCCGTGCCTCCGGCGGCCGGCGGTGGCCTGCGCAACGTGCGGCGGCTACATCAACAAGTATTGTCAGCGCAACTTCGCCAAGGGCGAGTGGAAGTGCGTCCTGTGCGATGCCACGAACACCAACCAAGACGAATACGGCGACGAGTCGTGCGCCCAGTTCCCCGAGTTCACCAACAAGGTGCGCTCGCACTCGCAGACCTTTAACTGCTGCAGCCCGCAGCGTGAGCCCTCACAACTAACCCTCACAATCAACGAACGGGCTGTGTGCACCACAGACGGTCGAGTATCTCGATCCGTCGCTGCAGTTCTATCCTGGTCCTTCCACACCCCAGCCCGCCTACTTCTTCATCATCGACGCCAGTCTCGTTCAGAGCGACATTGAGGTACTGAAGAGAGAGATCGTGACTTGCAGCTGCTCTGGCTTCGGTTGATTGTTCTCATCACATGCGTGGTTTTGATGTGGGCGCATGGTAGATTCTTCGCGTGGGCATCCTCAACGCCGTGAAGACGCTTCCGGAAACCTCTCGCGTGGGACTGATCACGTTCGCCAGCGCTATCTCGGTGTACGAGCTGGGGCTGCCCGAGGTGGCCTCTGCCGAAGTATTCCCTGGTACGTCCCTCTGCGCTGTGTTCGTTTCGCTGCTTCTGGTGCAGTGCGTGCGCAATTCCTCACGCCACACATCTCGCGCCTGATCGGCCTGTTCCCACCCAAAGGCGAGGCCTCGCTCTCGAATAGCGACTTCGTGTCGCTGATCGAACGCCAGGCGAACTTTGTGGCCAGCCTGGGGACGTGCACGGCGACGATCGACCGGATTCTCACCGCCCTCGTCGCCAGCGCGCCCCAGAAGCGGCTCCCCATCCAGACCAGAGCTCTCGGAACCGCCCTCGAGATCGCTCTGGCGCTCGTCACAGGCACCCCTTCCGTCATTTCACTGCAACAGTTGGGTAGGAGTTGTGTGGTGACCGCCACTCACCCACTCTCGTGTGCAGGTGAGCCAAAGGAGGGTTGGGACGACGTGAGCCAGGAAGGAGACCGAGCTCGCATGGACGCCAGAGTGTTCACCGGTGGCCAGCTGTTCGTCTTCATGACCGGCTCGGCCAACTTCGGCCCTGGTACGGCCATCAACTCCCTCGCCAAAACAACTGTGACAGACCGACTTTCGTTTTCTCTCTTTCTTTCTTTCTTGACTTTTATTGGTGTATTGTGCAGGCGGAATCCCTGATGACGTGGAAGACACAATGCAGAAGAAGACCTTCTACAAGGAACAAGCCACCGCCTACTACCGCAAGCTCGGCATGGACGCACACAAGTACGTGGAGATCTCTCTCTCTCTCTCTCTCTGTGTGTGTGTGTGTGTGTCGTGTGATGGCGATTAACCAACCGCCTGTCGTAATTGCGCATAACTCGCAGGATGAACGTGATGATCGACGTATTCTGTTGTGGACTCAAGAATTTCTACGTCAAGATCCTCCAGAACCTGGTCCTGTCCAACGGCGGTGCTGTTATCGCCCAACGCGATCTCCACGACTCCACGTTCTTCCCCACGCTTTTGCTCGCAGCCCACCGATGTGCGGTTCCCCCTCACTCACCGCCCACAAGACCACCGTTCATTATTATTCTTATTTGTTTTCATTTGTTGCCTTTCCCTTATTTTTTTAATTCTTTTCTTATCTGGCATAGGCGCGGGTCGCGATGGCACCTTCGACATTCAATGCACGTCGCCGGTGCTTTTCACGCACATCATTGGCCCGGCCATCGCGGGCAAGTCGGCGTGGGAAGGCCGACACCACTTCCGCATGGGGTCGGTACAGCCGCGCACCTGCTACTCGCTCTACTGCTCGCTCAACGACGACATCCCTGCGGACCACGTCTTCTTCCAATTCGTCGTTCGCTACACCAACCGCTCCCACCAGTGGTACTACTTGATGCCCTCCATTCCCACGTATTGTGTGTTCTCTTGGCTCACCGGGCTTTGCCATCGATACAGCATCACTCGCGTGGTGACCCAGCGCATAGCGACCACGGGCAGCATGCCCAACTTCTTGGAGTCGGTGAACTCCGACGTTGTATCCACCTTGCTCGCCAAGAAGATCGTTCTCCTCTCTCGAAAGCTCGAGAGCGTCGACGACGTCCTCGACCACCTGTACCTCCTTCCACCCCGTCAGCTGTGTCGTTTATTTTATGCATTTGTTGTCCGTTGTACGACACACAACACACACATATAATTATTCACTTCTTCCGTGCGCGCAGGGACAAGACGATAACAAACGTCGTGTCGGCTTGCGGCACCAAGGAGAAGGACAGGCGCAACTACAGCTTGCCCGAGGCGGTCGCGCCCATTCCCAAACAGTACGCACTGGATGCCTTTTGCGTTTTGGAGTGTCCGTAAGTGGCTAACGCTCATTTGTGTGCGCGTTTCTGCGCAGTTTGTATTTATTGCGTCAGGGTCCGATGTTGGCGCCCATTCTGCAGCACGCGGACGATATCGACTACGTGCGCTGTCTGTTCCTCAACAGCAACCTCGAGGACTCTCTGCGCCTCATCAACCCTCCCCTCTACCTCGCACGCCAGGGCAAGGTGCGGAGCAACCCTCTCGGCGTGATGATGCGCGTCGTCGTTGCGCAACTCAACAGTGCGTTTACACACACACACACACAACACACACAACACACACACACACACACACACACACACACACACACACACACACACACACACACACACACACAGGAGCTCGAGCGCATCCCGCTGGAGGATCTGGCGCTCCAGTCCCGCTTCGTGCTGCTGCTCGACCACCACACGGATCTTTTCATTTGGGTGGGCAGGCAGGCTCAGGACAGCGCCCAGCTGATCGAGCTGTGCCGTCAAGCCGCCGCCTCGTTCGCCACGCAAAGATTCCCGCAGCCCCAGCTCATGATTTTCCAGGTGAGAGAGCCTGTGCATTCTATCGATAAGCGTGCGTGTGCGGCGTTGTGTGTCATTCACGTGTGTTCTGCGCGTGTGCGGTGCGTGTGCGTGTTGTAGGAGGGCGCGTCCATGGCGCGTTGCCTGCAGGTGCGGCTCATTCCGTCGCACAAGGACTCCTTCGACGAGCAGAGGCAGTCGTTCCCGCTGATCGCCGAGATGGGCGAGAAGGACCACGCCGCCTTCGTCTCACGCTTCCACCGCACCGACGAACTCTCCTTCCACCACTACTTCCGCTCTCTCGCAGCGAGGTTGAAGTAGTAGTAGGCCCACTCCCTTCTCCCACCCTCCCGTTTTCTTCTTTCATCAGCACTAACATACACGCGTGCATTCTTATTACTATTTATCTCAACAATTTATCTTTATCTCTCTCTGTCTCTTTCTCTTCACTTCTTGTAGCCGCCCTGCTTCTGGGGGAGGAAGGACTTGCGGTCGGTCAGCTCGCGCTCCATCCACCACACGCCGCCCGAGGGGAGCTTGGACTTGACGGTCTGAAGGTAGGCCTCGGCCTCGGCCAGCCTCCGCCGGGTCTCCTCCACCGCCGCCTCGGCCGCGGCCTTGGCCTCCTCTGACAGAGCGCGCGCCGACTCGGCCGCCTTGCGCGAGTCCTCCGCGGCCGTGCGCGACCCCGTGGCCTGGTCCGCCGCGGCCTTGGCCACCTGGCGCGCCTTGTCGGCCTTCTTCACGACGGCCTCCTGCGTGATCTGGGCCTTGCGCAGCGGCAGCGGGTCGGAGGTGAGGTGCTGGGCGAGCTCGTTCTTGGCCTTGTTCTTCTGCACCACGCTGCCCTCCTCGGACAGGCGCGTGAGCTCGGCCGTGCGGGCCTTGAAGGCGTCTTCCTGGGCCTTGAGCTCGTTGAGCGCGGCCTCGAGCTCGTCCTTGACGGCGCGCAGCTCGTCTTCGCGCGCCCGGGCGTCGGCCTCGAGCGCGCGCGCTTCGGCTTCGGCGGCCTTGGCCTGGGCCTCCTGCGCGGTGGCCGACTTGAGGGCCGCCATGGCCTCGGCGTCGCGGGCCTCCGAGGCCTGGAAGGCGAGCGTGACCTCGTGCAGCATGGCCTCAGCCTTGACGATCTCCTCCTTGTTGCCCTGCGGCGCATTGGCCAGCTCGCGCCAGTCGACGCCGTACTTGATGATGAGGATGTGGATGAGCGGCACGGTGCGGATGACGGGACCCGTAAGGGCGCCGGTCGATCGCAGCTTCTCGCGCAGCTCCTGGACGGTGTGGGTCTCCTTGAAGTGTTCGAGGAAGCGGTGGGCCTGGAACTCGTCGAGGGCGCATCCCTGGGCCTTGTTCACGGTGTCGATCTCGGCGCACTTGTGGACGATGGTCCACAACGCTTCGGCCTCGCCCGGGAGGGTGGACCAGAACCCGTTGAGGAGCCACACAGCCTGTTCCTTGTAAGTGAGCTTCGTCAACGCCTCTAACTTCTGCACATCAGTCGCCGCCATGCTGATCTTCTCTTGCGTGTGTTTGTTCGAAGACAAGCTGCGCGAGGTGTGAAGGGGCGGCTTGGGTTCAAAAATGGGCAGGCTCACCTAAAATATACCACCTGCATTCCAGGCATTCCGTCGAGGCGTTCCCGCCAGATTTCGATGCACGAAATTGAACGTAGACTCACATTGAAGCTCATCTCTGAGAAGAAAGCGCGATGGATCGATTAGGTGGGCGCAGGAGGCCGAGCACGAATCAGTTGCTCTATGGAACTTTGATCGTATCCGCGTTGGTGTGGGCGTCGTTCCTCTATCTCTTCTTCGCCCCCGTTGTTCGAGAATCTTCGGCGATTAAGAGCGCTCTTCGAGCCATTGCAGGTAGCCCACCTCTTTCTCTTGCGCGGGGGCTCTTGCACTCAGTCCAATCGCGCACAGATGCGAGTGATGACTTCGATCTCGATAATCAGCCAGCATTCAGCAGCGATCATCGAGGCATGCACGTAATTGCCCAGTTCCCTGTGCTGGACCAATCGCTGGACCAGGAAGTCGATAAACACGATCGATTGCTGCGCCAACTGGAGTACACGGAGGCCCTCATCGAGAATCTCATCCACCCCGCTGTCGAATGCGTGCACATTATGCTGGAGCGAGCCGAAGATGAGGCATTCATCATGCAGCATATCTTGGCCTATCCCTACGCCAGCCGCTTCGCTGGCTTCATCCCCAAAGAGGAGGATGGGGGCGCCGACCATGCACAGCGATTGTGGCGCTACGTCAACCAATCCGACCGCGTGCGATTCGTTCAATTGGGCCGGTGGATGCTCTACGCGGATGCCTTCGGCTACGCGAGGCGCGAGCTGCCCGGTCGCCTTTGTGTGATACAGAACGGCGACATCTCGCTCTCGCTGGCGCGCCAACACGTTCAGGCCTACCGGCGCCTGGTCAGCAGCGCCGTGACAGGCAGCGACAAGCAGTCGCTCCTCGTGAGCGTCCACGGCCACAGCAAGGTGTTCATTCTATCGCGAAGCCACCTCGAGCTGCCCTCCTGCCCGACCACCGTCGTTCGGTACACACAGACCACGCTCTCCTCTCGAAGAGGGCAAGAGACTACGATCGTGCGTGCGTGGCCGAGTGGTGTTGCACTCTTTGTGGCTCACAGGCAAGTCTCCAATCAGGAACTGTGCCAAGGCGGCTTTAATCGGAAGCTACGACACCTACATCTTCATCTCCCCTCTCCCCGAGATCCTCGAGTGGCAAAGTACGTACATTGCTGCAGCGCCTCTCTTCTTCAACCCCAGCCACCCGGTGCTTGTGTGTGTCTAACCAGCACGCGCACACGCACCACCGCACACGCACCACCGCACACGCACACAACCGGCTGCAGCCCCGATGCCCCAGAACATCTGGGGAGCGGAGAATCGGGTCATCTGGGCTCTCAAATGCCTCAACATCTCGGTCACCAATCCGTGCCTCGAGCTCGTCACCGTTCACCATCACTGCAAGAGCTCCTTCCGACCCACTCAGCAGGAGGACCCCATCGGCCTCCCTCGCGTACGTTTGTTCCTCACATGCACCACCACGTGTATCGTCGTGTGCGTGTGCGGTGTGTGTGTGCGTGTGCGGTGGTGCGTGCGTGTGCGATCGACCACTCATATGTGCGTGGTGTGTGCAGGTCGAGTACGACAAGAACGGGCCGTACTCGTTTCCGCCGCGAAAGCCGGCGGCGTCGCTCGAGGAGAGCATGGACCCGGCCGACTTCCCGGCCCGCGAGATCTGCCACCACTTCCCCTGGAACGGACCCGAGGGCCGGAGTGCGGAGGACATCGCCGCCCAACGGCGCGACGAGGCCAACGCCAACCAAGCCAAAGCTCGGAGAACCGGTGGCTGGAAAGGTTGAGCAACACCAGACCCGTGCACGCCCTGTACGGCTGCCGTTTCGAAAGAGCTTCGTTCACGGCCTCATGCTGCAATACGATCGTATACGAATATGTTGTGAATATGTTGTGAATCCAACATCAGAAATTACAAAGATGTTTGTGGTGCACGAAGGCTGCACGTTACATTCCGCCGATAGCGTGGCTTGCGGCCACAGAAGCAAACATGTTAACACAAACACAACAAGAGATGGAAGACCAAACAAGTGCTTCGCCTTATGAGATCTCAATCACGTTCAGTGGTACGTGCGCTGCTGCCCCAAGCCTCTGCGCTCGATCTGCATTCATTCATTCTTGCACGCGTCGTGTGACCCCAGGCAATCCATTGGATCGGGTGAATAATCGAAGGAAGGACGTGGCCTTCCTTGCCACCCAGCTGGAGAGCGCCGCTTCCGTGTGCATTCCCTTCCACCGACTCTCGCCGCTGCTCCTCCGCAGCTCTGACGAGTCCGCGACACGTACGCACATCATCACCGCGGTAGTATTATTGTTTTATTATTGTTTTATTATTGTTTTATTATTATTAAATATTAAATTTCGATAAAGCTTATTAATTTTTCAATTAAGAATTATTTTCCTATTGTATTTATTTTTATTCATCTTGTAGCGCTGCCGGGAGTTGCTGGAGACCACCAGAAGGCAGACGACTCCATCTGGTGTCCCACAGCGACAGGCGGTGGCGTTCATTTCGTTTCATTCGTGTGGTCGCGCTTATCGGTTGCCGTCGACATGGCCTCAGTGCTCACCCTGCCCACGTGTGTGTCGGTGTGTGTCGTGCAGCAACGCGCGAGATTCGCTGGAAGAGCCTGAGCGAGGTGACCAGACTGGCTGGTGGAGGTACTGCCACGCCCTGGGATGTGCGTGTGGTGTGTGTGGTGTGTGTGGTGTGTGGTTGTGTGGTGTGTGTGGTGTGTGGGTATTCGACACCCCAAAGAAGCAATCCGCTGACAACACCCCGCCTGCACCACCTCTCAGTCGGCGAAGTGGTCCTGCTGGGCCTGCGCAACGATACGGCACACTATGCCGTCGAGGTACGCTGCCGCCAGCGCTGCTCCCACCAGAGCCCACCCTTCAGTGCATGACGAGATCGAAATCCGGGTGTTCACACGTGTGGGTGTGCGTGTGCGTGTGGGTGTGCGTGTGCGTGTGCGTGTGCGTGTGCGTGTGCGTGTGCGTGCGAGTTTAGTTGCCCGGGGAGAGTGCCAAGGCGCTCACAGACGGCGACGAATCCGCAGAGTTCATCGACATGCGCCGCGTTTCTCCCTTCCTCATTCACGAGGAGGCCGGCATTCTCGCACAGGTACGCTCCACACCCGGGACCGCACAGCCCCGCTCTGCGTGTGGAGCTCCCCCCAAATCGCTCATGACACACAACACACGGCGCGCACACTCATCGCACTCATGGCACAGGCACGAGCTCTGCTTGAGTGGCACGCCAAGCACAAGTACTGTGGAGTGTGCGGCAGTCCAACGCGCTCGATCGAGGGCGGATCCAAGCGGCAATGCACCAACGCCGCGCCTCCGAAGACCGACGCCGTGCCCGCCACCGGTATTTCCCGCCACAGTTTTTTATTTTTTTAATTTATTTCTTATCTTTTGCGGTTTCTTTTCTCTATTCACTTATTTTACTTAATTAATTTATTAATAATTAGGCAAAATTATTAATTTGGTGGTTGGGGTGAAGGTGGACCCAAGGGCTGCGGCAATCGGGAGTACCCGCGCACCAACCCGGTGGTGATCATGCTGGTGATCCATCCCGACGGACGGCAGTGCCTTCTGGGCACGCAGAACCGCGTCTCGGGTCTCACCAATATGTGGTCCTGCCTTGCCGGCTTCATGTACGTGTGTCTCGTGTGTGCGGTGCGTGTGCGGCGTGTGCGGTGTGTGCGGCGTGATTGATGACGCGAATTGGGGCGGATGCAGGGATCCGGGCGAGACGATTGAGGAGGCGGTGCGCCGGGAGGTGTGGGAGGAGAGCGGGATCGAGGTGGGCAAGGTCGAGTACTTTGCCAGCCAGCCATGGCCCTTCGGTACGCCCTTTTGCAGCGCACACCACACTCACACTGCACACACAATGCTAATATTCGAACCACACACACGACACACACGACACACACGACACGACACACACACGACACACACGACACACGACACGGCACACACGACACACACGACACGGCACACACGACACACACGACACGGCACACACGACACACACGGTGATACACAGGAACGGAACTGATGATCGGCTGCTTCGCCCACGCGCTCAAGGCTGAGATCAACGTCGACCGAAGGGAAATTGCCGACGCTCGCTGGTTCACACCCGCAGAGATCGAAAATGGTACCACCATGCTCACCGCACGCACACGCACACGCGACTGATAAGACACGCAAACGACACTCCATGCAGGCGTGCGACAGATGGCCGAGAACCCGCGACTGATGTGGGCCAGCGCGGAATGGCGCATCCCGGCCAAGAGCGCCATCGCGCACCAACTGATGGCCAAGTGGGTGGCCTCCCTCCCGCCACCGCCCGCCACTTCCACCTCTTCCCTTTGATGACGTCACCACGCAATTTTTTTATGGCAGTGTAGTGTTGGATTGGCTGGCAAGGGACTATAGATGGAGGGGAACCGTGTGAACGAGTACAGGTGTTGACATCACCACATGCCTTGAATGTTGTCTCATACATGTGGCAGTTATGGTGTTGGTGTTGGTGCGCAATTCTTTTGTTTGATGGTGATGACATCAACTGGTGGAAGGGTTTGTTGTTGAGTTGTTGGGAACCGCTCAGCCCCTCGGAATGGAGGGACGAGCAGGCCACCACTTTCAGTGATGTAGACTATGAACCAAAGACGAAATGCAATGGATGATTAGTACCTTCCCCACAGGCCCACTGGCCCACTTCAATGCTCTCCACCCGCCACCCATTATGGGACCATCGTAACAGTCGCACAACCACACCAGAAAAAAGAACGAAGGACAGAATAACGTTAAAAAAACAGAATAAAGAACGAAAGCAAGAAGGGCTCACTCAGGACCTCAAGAAGGCCCACATCACCCCGTGCCATGTGGTCCTGCCTTGTATGTGTCTTGTGTGCGTGTGCTGTGCGGCGTGTCACAACCAACGTCAGTGTCAGCAACAAACCTTTGATCACATGGACCATACACACTATGCACACGATACACACACACACACGACACACACCACAATACTGTGATGCACAGATGGATGATCGACAATATTGAGGTTTCAGTGGTGAAATCTCAATGTTGTGCTGTTTGACCGCCACTGGAGGACGAGCGGCAGACGGCGTCTTCTCGCAACAAGGTGGACGCGGTGACCGATCTTTGCATCGTTGTCCTCGCCGCTTTCTGTTCCAATGAGTCGTGTGGCGTGGACGACATTGATGATGAATGGGGGTAACAAAATGCACCAGTCGTACTTCTTCACCTTTTTAGCCGCAAGCACTGGACCAGAGTCTATATAGGGGGGAGGGGGGAAGGGTGGTGATACAGCGCATCAGTGGTGGTGCGGTGAGGTGAAGCGGAACAGGGGCACGTCGCCCGTCAGCAGAGAAGGCGGCGGGAGCAACGGCACCGGCCGCGCCGCCTCGCCCTTGCCCGCGCCCCTCGCCAGAGGAACCAGCATCGCCGCCCAATTCGCCTGATGACACACGGCACACGACACACGACACACGACACACGACACACGACACACACGACACACACGACACACACGACACACGACACACACGACACACGACACACGCACACAAGGGAAATGAATAATTATAATAAGTAAAAGAATTATCCCAAAGGCAAATGGATGATTTGTAAATCAATAAATATTTCACCTGGTGGCGCAGGGAGTTGTTGGCGGAGAGGGCGGCGTGCAGGGCGGGAAGGGCGGCCTGCTGCGGGTCGATCGCGGCGCCCTTGGTCGAGGCCAGCAGCGTGGTGGCCGCCAAGTGCCGATAGGCCCTGCAACCACCCGTAACACGCATTGTCATCGCACGACACACGCATGACGCGACACACGACACACACGACACACACGACACACACGACACACACGACACACGACACACGACACATGAGAGACGCACGAGGGGTCGAGGCGTGCGGCAAGGCGGAAGGCCTCGATGGCGCACTTCCAGTCGGTCGACTTGGCCGCGCCGTGCCCGAAGGCGAGGCAGTAGTGGACCAGCTTCGCCTTCTCCGTCTGCCCCTTCGTGGCGCCGCTCTCGTTTCCATCATCGCCGCCGCCGACGCCGCCGAACTGGGCCTCGACCGCGTCGTCGTCGGCGTCGTTGGTGTTATTGTCGACGGCCTTGGTCGTGGCCGATTGGCCGGCTTGCTCGTCGGCGTTGTCATTGTTGTTGTCGACCAGCTGGAGCTCCGACGCGAGCGAGGTGGCGAGGGCGACGCCCTCTGCGTAGAGCGAATGTCGCTCGCAGATCGCCAGCTGTGACCACCGAGATACGTGAGCGTGAGCGTGTGCGGTGGTGCGTGCGCAATGGTACACGTCTGTGTGCGGTGGTGCGCGTGTGTCGTGCGATGAAGGTGTACTTTGTTCCATGGAGAGACGCCACGCAGGCGAAGGGCATGGGGCTCGTGGCCCAGGAGAGCCAGCAGCCGAGCCATCTGCTCATGGCACGCCGCGTCCGTCTTGTCGGCCCTATCAACGCATTGCCCGTTGAGGACCGCGGCACACATGCAACACGACACGCAACACGACACACGACACACGACACACGACACACGACACACACGACACCGCGGGTAGGGGTACCAGATGACGGCTTCGTCGACCGAGGGAAGGGTGACCAGGAGGTAGAACTTGAGGAGGGCGTGGTTGACCGCCACCTTGACCACGTCTCCGGTGATCGTGAGCACACCCAGCTCGCCCTGGACGCGCGCGCGACGTTGTAGACCTTAGCACGGCGCACACGACACCGCACACACACACGACACGCGCCGCATACACCGACATACGACACGCGCCGCACACGCACGCATGGCGTACCTGGGGCAGGAAAGCGAGGATGGAGAGCGGAGGGGGAGGGCGGAGGGCGATGGGGCGGCGGGAGTCGCCGTGGGAGGCGGCTTCCAGCTGCCAGTCGTTCTCGCCCTGCGACAGCGAGGCCAGCACGATCGTGCCCAGCGGATGCGCTCCCATCATCACTGCCGGTCCGCACGCATGGTATGAGCCATGTGTGCGCACACAACGCACGACACGCACCGCACACGACACACGACACACGACACGCGACACGCGCGAGAGTGGCAAGTGGCGTACGGCAGCGGATCTGTCGGTCGGTGGCGAAGAAGAGGCACGAGTTGGCCCACACGGCGGACACCATGCGATGCTCGGCGCGCACCACCTCCGTCATCCCGTTATCTTCGATCGATCTGTGGCCGCAGAACAGGTCAACACACCACACACACACACACACACACACACCACACACACACACACACCACACGACGCACACACACACGCACACACACACGCGACACACACACACGACACGCGCACGACACACCGCACACGAGGGGTGGGGGTATACGAAAGGGAAAAGACGCGGATGGAGGACGGTAGCGCGATGGCGCACAGTTTGCTCTCCTCGTCCCACACCCCAAAGTCGGCCGATGGAATCGCCCTACGTTCCCCCCCCCACTCTCCACATTCAGTTGACTGGAACGCGACACGCGCCACCGCACACGACACGCGACACGCGACGCACACGGGAGGAGGGCCGACGTACAGGGTGGAGGGGCGGTACGGGCCGTCACGGCCGATCTTCTGCGAGCCGCGGACGAGGAACCTGAGCAGCGGCGGACTCGGCTTGCTGTCACCCCGCACCGGCTGTACAGACCCAGTCGTCAGCCCGACACACGACACGCACGACACACGGCACGCACGACACGCACGGCGCGCACGACACGCGCGCGTACCGGAGGGATGGGTTGGTATTTGAGACCGATCACGGGTCCAGACTGGAGCGACTCGAGGACCTCGCCCTCGACGTCGGTGTCGATGTCGGCGCCGGTGTCGGCCACGCGGCCCGAGTCGACGACCAGGAACTTGACCGCCATCGAGAACTGCCGCGGGCTGAGGGCGTCCTTCTTCTTTTTCTTCTCCTTCTCGTTCACCACCGGCGTCACTGCACGGGCCACCACACACGTGTGAGCTACGCGCGTGTGCGGTGGTGCGTGTGCGGTGGTGCGTGTGCGGTGAGGGGGGGACCAGGGATGGACTCGAGGACGGCGAGCACGTCCTGTTGCTGGTCCGCGGGCGAGCGCCAGGCGAGGCTCTTGGCCTTGCCCTCGTGCACGCACTGCCACGACGTCGTGTCCAACACCTGAACTCCGCACACACGACACGACACGACACGCACCACGCGCGCACGACACGACACACACCGCACAGACCGCACACGCGGTGAGTTTCGTATATACAACAACAACAATGATTGGAGGGGGGGACCTGGAAGGAGGTGTCGTCGTAGGTGACGGTGAGGTGGCGGTAGGAAGGGCTGGCCTGCAGACGCACGGCGCCCTTCTTGGACAGAATGTGCGCCTTCGCCACCTTGCTACTGCTCACGCGCGCCCCACCACACCACCCAACACCACCCAACACCCGTCGCCGCCGCCGTGTCAGGAGGCATCGTCATCGCCGAGCCAAGGAGAGGAGGCGACGCACTTGTTGAAGTCGCGGGTGAAGATGGCCTCGCCCTCCCGCAGGTAGTAGATGTAACCGGCGGCCGACGGACGCGGAGGCACCACCGTGACACCAGTCGCCCTGCCCAGCACACGTTAGAACGCGCGCGTGTGCGTGTGCGTGTGCGGCGTGTGCGTGTGCGTGTGCGTGTGCGTGTGCCGGTGAGGTACGGGTTGGGGCGGGGCGGGGCGAGGACGAAGAAGCCGGGCCGGGCGAGGCACAGGAGGTGGGTGCCCCAGGAGTGGACGGCGAGGCCGACCACCTTGCGCGGCTTGAGCTCCTTCTTGAAGGCCGGCAGCAGGTCCAGGTCCAGGAACGGCTCCGCGTTGGTGCTCGCCGTGAACTGCTCGTCCAGTATGTACACCTGGTCCGCCCCATCGCTTGAGATCACGACACACAACGCGCACGACCGCACACGCACACGCGACACGACACGCGCGGGGTGCGTACCTTGGAGCTGTCCTTGACGCAGGCCAAGAGTGAGTAGGGCGGGAAGTGGTGGACGGAGGTAATGGCGTGCTTGAGCGGGTTCTTGGTCCGCAGGACCTCCTTGTGCTCGGTCAAGCCCCACACCACCGTGGACCTGGCACCAATCAATCCACACCGCACGACACGCACAGAGACGCACACACGCAACACGCACGACACGACACGACACACACGACACGCGCGCACGCACACGCGCAACACCACACGTGCGTTGAGCGGGAATGAATTGACGAAATCGAAGGAGGGGCGTGAGTACTTCTCGGAGGAGGCCACCAGGTGATCCGTGAAGGCGTCGTAGGCGAGGCTGGTGATCGCTCCATCAGGACCCTGATCCGCCGCGCGCGCGTACACGCACGCACGCAAGACACACACGACGCACACACGCACACGCACACACACACACACACGACGCACACACGCACGCGTTGAGATGAAAGGGCCGCGGAGGGCGGAGGGGAATCAAACCTTCTTCTGGTCGTAGGAGGGGATGGGCTTCTGCTCCGAATTGGGCACGAGGGGGCACTTCCAGAACACGAGCGCCTTGCCGTCGTCGCCCGCCGCAACCACCTCGCCCGTGATCTCATTCGCACCCTTGAGAACACGCGCCGCCCCACACCCGTGTGAGTTTGCTTGCGAGCGTGTGCGGCGCGCGTGTGCGGTGGTGCGTGTGCGGCGTGCGTGTGCGACACAGGGAAAGGTGGTGTACCAATCGAGCGAAGATGGCGACGATTGGCTTGGAGCTGGTCGAGGTCAGCGTGAGCGTGCGCGCCCAGCGCGCGCAGTCCCAGAGCCGCACCTGGCCGTCGGCGCAGGCGAACGCGATGACCGACGATCGAGGGAAGAAGTCGACCGTCAGCGCTGCCTTGCCGTCCAGCGCGGCCAGGCTCACGTGGCGCACGGCTTGCGACTGTGGCACCACACGAGTTGTCACAAACCGTCGAACGAGCGCGAATTGAGCACGATTTGAGTGAGCGCGATTGACTGAGGTACCAGGTAGTCGAAGAAGGAGACGACGGAGTCGGTGGTGACCACCAGCCAGCGGCCCTCGGGCTTGTCCTCGGCCGACTGCTTCTCCGCATCGCTGCCACCCTCGTTGGCCCTCTGCATCGGTTGGCCATCAAATCGTTAACGGGCGCACGACACACACGACACACACACAACCACCGCACGACACGCGGACGATGTTGAATGGGTGGTGGGAAGTACTGTGGAGAGGAGCTTGTGATGAACAGTGTAGGAATCGTAGAAGGTGAGCGAGTGGATGTTCACGCCCTTCTTGTCCGGCACTGCGGTGGTCCAGTGATCGGCGCCCAGCGCCGCGATCACCACCTTCTTCTCCACATTCCACACCTGCGGACAACACCAGGTGCTTAGTTGTCTCCTCCCCCCTCTTCGTCTTCGCTCTTTTCTTCGTTTTTCGTTTTTCGTTCTTCGTTCTGTGCCAAGAGCGGGAAGGAGGAGTACCTCGATGAGGGAGTCGTCGTAGGCGAGAGCGACGAGTGGCAGGACGGGGTGGTGGGCCACCGCCACTGGCCGGGCACCAGCCGGGTAGTCAGCCTGCAGAAGTATCTCCCAGCCTTGGTCCATGCGTGCTGATCCTAACCACAAAACAGCAACATTATTTTTTTTTTTAATTTATCATAATTGCATTTATTTATTTGACTCAAAATCAGTAGCATTTTTATTGTTTTCATAATCAAGTATTCATTTAAATTAAAAATATATTGTTCTGACGGGGTAATCAATCAAAGAGATGTAGATAGTTTAGTAGCGAACCTCAGGTAAGGCGGCAGACGAGTTATGTCGAGTAGGGGAGATGGGTTCTTCTGGATGATCTTGTGCGCGAACGTTGCCGGACTCACGTTCAGAATTTTAAATAATGAACTACAATAAAGGCCAATTAATTAAAAAAATGTGTGAGGCGGGGCATCGAATCCCGCCCTAGTCACACCATTTGATTTTGTGCATTTAATGGATTGATCAAAATGTTCAGGAGGGTGGCGTGGATGGGGAGCCGAGGGCGGCCTGGCGGGCCTCTTGCAGGGCCTGGGTGGCGGTGGTGGGCGGAGAGTAAAAGGAGCTCAAGTGGTGGTAGTTGTGTTCCCTGACCTTGACGCTGGCGATGGGCTCCATCGTGTCCACCGTAAAATCGATGAACTTGCGGACCTGCTCCGGCGGACCCTCGATCCAGATGAGTCGCTTGTGCGTCCTGATCTCGAAGTGCTCGTAGCTCTTCTTGTGCTTGAAAGGACTGCGCAGGAGGGCGAATCTCTTGTGGCGCGTCGGCAGCGGAATGGGACCCACCCGCTTCATTCCGACCATCTCGGCCGCAGTGGCAATGTCCTGCGCCACCTTGGCCACTCTAACGGCCACAGTTGGCATCCATCAGAATCACATTTACAAAATCCAAAATCGCGGGGCCATAAATGCGCGAAAATGCGCGGCATAGACAGGAAGAGAGGAATAATAACACGAAGAACGGAGCAGGTGCAGCACCTCTTGTGGTAGCCAGAGATCACGAGCTCAGCCTTTCTCCAGCTCATCTTGTTTGTGTTGAAATCGCTCTAGAAGCGCAAGAAAGAAAATAATTCTGCTTGGAAAATCGAAAATCGAAATAAAAACAAGATCCAAGCAACCAAGTGCCATCTGTTGCGTTTCATCTCCTGTACAGTACAAGGAACCATCACTCAACAAAGACAAATCGACATGCGCAGGCGAGGATTGGAACCCCATTCGTCCGACTCGGAGGAAAGCGAGGGCGAGGCCTCGCCATTGGGATCATCTGATAGCGAAAGTGAAGATGAGGCGCCCGTGTTGGCTAGACGCAGGGGAGCACGAGGCGAAGAGGATGAAGGCGAGGAAGGCGCCGCCTCCGAATCACAGAGCGACTCTGACCAGATCGATACAGACACCGAAGATGACAGCGACGTCAGCAGCGATGAGGAGAACACCAAGCCTGCGCCCACGGCAATCGCCAAGAGGCCTACGCCCGCTGCCGGCACTGGCAAGAAGGAAGAGACCGATGGAGGCAGAGGGAGAGGCAGAGGGAGAGGAGGAGTTACGCAGAGACCCGCCCCAGCAGCAGCATCAAGTGGTAACGGAGGACGAGCCAAGGCGCAACAGCAGAATCAGACTCAGAGTCAATCTGGCGCGAAGAAGCTCGTGTACCGACCCAAGAATGCCGCGCCTGCAGAGGGATCATCCGCGATCTCGGCCGAGGGGGAATGGGGCGATATGGAATCTTCATCTCCCGCGCCTGTGCGGGGAGCTGGTAGAGGACGAGGAAAGAAGGGAGATGGGACACGGCCAGCAAGAAACAAGCGAGACCGTAACGTCAAGAGAGAGGACGCCAACGCCACGGCTGACCAGCAGCAGATTACGCCACCAGTAGAGGGGGGAGATGGCGCTACCCAACCTCCGCCGCCGCGGGCTCATCAAGAGGTCTCGAAACAGGGCAGGCAGAGGCGAGGTCGGAAGCAGCAGCCCGCTACTCGCGTCGCTCCCTCGGACGGCGATCAATCTGCAGGAGCTCCCACTACGCAGCCATCTTCGACCGAAGATGCAGATGCAGAGCAAGTGGTGGGCGAAGGCGGCTCGGGCGAAGGCGGTGAAGAGGGAGGACCGCATAGGAAGGACAACAAGAAGAAGCCCGACCCCGACGACCCCCAGTTCGTGCCGCGCGGCCGCTTCTTCATGCATGACGACCGCTACGGCGGGAAGGGACCCGGGCCTCGTCCACCTCGTCAGCGCCCCGATGACGCCTACGATGCCGAGCAGGAGGAGATCTGGATGCACGACGGCTACGAGCGACTCGCGCGCGAGGAGCGTGATGGACGGGTACTACGAACGGCTCGAGCGCTTTGTTGTGTGTCGCGCGTGTGCGTGTGTGTCGTGTCAAACATTCGTCGCGTGGCTGACTTTGTAGCTGCACCCGTCGACAGAAGGGAAGAAGTAGGCGACGTGGGAAGCAGGCCGCCGGTGGTGGCCGGGGCGGAGGTGCCGCAGCGGCACCTGAGCCGGGCGTCGCTGATGGAGGCGCCCAGCACCCCTCGGCGACTGCCGCCGCCTCACCTGCTGCAGGCCGTGGGGAGTCCGGCAAGCGCGCCAGGGGCAAGGGACAGCGTCAGCCCTCTGGCGGACGTGGCACCCAGCAGGCCGGCGCCAACCAGCCCGTACAAGGTTCTCCTCCGCGTCGCTCGACCACTTGCCGAGTGGGCTTTTTCTAAAACGTCAGGCTCGGTTCGTGGTTACATGCGTGTACACATGCAGATCACGCCACATCACCGATGGGCAATGGTGTCGCTGGTGGCTCGAAGCGCTATTCATCGCAGCGCGTGGCCACCACGGACGAAGCGGCCTCGCTTGCGGCGAAGGCTGTTGCCGCGGCCGTGTCGTCGACCGGCGCCCCCATCAACCCGGCCGTTGCCGCCGCCGGTGGCGGTCACTCGCCCCACTTTGCCCCAGGCGGGTATGCATCGAGCCCCATCCGGCCCAACGCCCAGCCATTCCGACCCAAGGGCCGAGGTATGCAAAGCACGCGCGCGTACCGTGCGTACATTGCGCACGTGTGTCGTGTCGTGTCGCTCATCACTCCTTCCGTCGTCGGGTTGGTTTCCCAGGGAACGGCGCCAGCACGCTGTACGTCCCGATGGGCTACGGCCCGTACGTGCCCGAGTACGGCGCCGGCGCGACCTACTACCCGCCGCCGCCGGCCTTCCCCGCCTACGGCTACACCCAGGGCGGCCAGTTCCCCGAACCCAACAAGTACGGCTCGTTCGCTCTCTCTCGCTCGCATGCCATGGCTCGAAATAAGACCCGCAGACCTGACTGACTTCTTGCGTGTGTTGGCCGAACGAACTATTGCAGCTATCTGGAACCGGACCCGGCGATCATCGATGCGTCGGTGCCGACGTACCAGATGGCCGCCGCAGCCGCCGCAGCAGCAGCGCCGGCGCCGCCCACCGAGGCGGGTGGCCCCGATCCTACGATGATGAACCCACAGCTCACCCCCTACGGCGCCTATCCGCCTCCGTTTTTCTACACCGCACCCGTCTACCACCCGTACATGGTACGCACGCGTGCCTGACATTTCTTTCCTGCGTCGCCATCACTACCACGTTGTTCACTCTTCGTTCTTCTTCGTTCTTTGAACGACTCAGGGCGATCACCAAAGCGGCGGTGGACGGGGACGGGGCCGAGGCCGAGGCCACCACCACATGGCACCTCCGCCGATGCAGGGCACCGTCTACTATCCTCCACCGGTCATCGAGGGCGAGGCCGAGGGCATGTATGAGGAACAGGACAGGTTTGGCTCTTCCGCCGAAGAGACAACCTCCGCGGAACAGGTCGAGGTAATGAACGGCAACGGCCACGACAACGGTAACGGCCACGGCGAGGACGCAACATCGCTGGCGCCACAGCAACAGCCGCAGCCGCTGCCGCAGCCTGCGATGATCAGTCCTGCGGCCAAGGCCGCCGGATCTAAGATGCGCGCCAAGGCGCCCAAGTGGGTGCCCAAGGCCGCGGCGAATGCAAACACGAACGCGAACACGACCCCGATGAGCGATGCCGAGACAGCCGCCTCATGAGACCCGGTCTCACGTGCGTCGATCGGCTCTTTCGCCACGCCACCAAGCTCTTCGAATTGGGCGTGTCCGCCGCGAGTGACCTCCGCCCGCCCGGGAAGCACGTTCATCACCACTAGCACTGCCGAAAGCCGGCTCGGGGGTTACCCCCTCAGCGAGCTGCCGCAAACTACCACTCGCGCGACATGCGGCCAGTCCCGCGCCCGGGTCGTCTCCGCGCCGGGACGCACCTCTCTTATGCCTTCTGCTTCCCTTCTCTCTGTCAACTCTTCATCCACATCCACACGGTCGTTGGGCTCATGCGCTTGCACAGCCACCTTACAAAACCAGCCCGATCGACAACAAAACAACCTTTCCTTCGTTCTTTGTGGTTTTGTGCGAATGGCGAAGGTGGTCCCATAATGGGTGGAGGGTGGAGAGCATTGAAGTGGGCCAGTGGCCCTGTGGGGAAAGGTACTAATCATCCATTGCATTTCGTCTTTGGTTCATGGTCTACATCACTTAAAGTGGTGGCCTGCTCGTCCCTCCATTCCGAGGGGCTGAGCGGTTCCCAACAACTCAACAACAACAACATAATCCTGCCCCTCGTCATCACATAATGATACACCAAGCACACCGGTTGCACCATCATAACAAGGACACGTATTGCGCTTAAAGCACCACCGCACAACTGCGCTTCATGGCCCTGGGCGCTGCCGCAGAAAGCCTGGAGCACCAGGTCCACCAAAAAAGAAGATGAAAAGCTGGTGGTTGCGTCATGGGTTAGTATGGCGCAGGGTGATGTGGGCGTCGGCCTCGCCACAGGGCTCAAGACCCTCTTTAGGTCCTGAGCCCCTTCGTGCGGGAGGCCACCACACAACGCCCCCCGCCATGAGCAGTGCCGGAGGTTCCATCGAAGTAACCCATCGACAAAGGCACCAAGCTCACACTGCAATCTATCAGCCATGCCTGGTTGAGGCCTACCCCACACGCCCGCTTCCTTGATTGTGGGATGATCAGAATGCGAGCTGATCTTGCTTTCGTTCTTTATTCTGTTTCGTTCTTTCTTTTTCCCCCGGCCTTGGTGCACGACAAAGAAGCTTGTGTCGGTTCAGCCAAAACGCTCCAATTGACTAAGCAGGGTCCCACAATGAGTGAAGAAGGCCCAGCGTTGAAGTAGTCAGGTGGAGGACCAGGTGCAGTACAAGAATCAACCCTTAGTAGCAAGAGCGAACAGGTTCACAGTTTACACCTCTGAAAGAGGTGGCCTGCTCGTTCCTCTATTCCGAGGAGCTGAGCGGTTCCCAACAACTGAAAAACAATACTTTCACATAACAATCAATGCACGGCAAAGATATAAATTGTCTGTTCGCTCTGCTGTTGGGATGCACAGATGGTCAAGAGTTGATGTAGTCAGGTGGGGACAAGGAAAAGTCATTACCAACCGTAGCATACTCTGTCTCCGGTTCATAGTCTACAGAGCGCTCACCGCCCGTTCTTCGTCTCTCACAGCTCTCCTTTAGACCAACAGAGCTGTTACACTCAAGAGACACCCTGTCTCCACAAGCCCCTTCCAGCAGCGGATTAACGGCCGTCCCTTGACCGGTTGCGATCCCTTTCATGACTGAATATACTGGGAGAGAGCGACACTTTTAAAAGCCTACATGCTCACCTTGTAGGAGGTTACTCCTGACTTGTCCTTGTTGGGCAGGTCGAGGTGCTTGGTCACGTCGATGCCCAGCGTCCACAGGTTGTCCAGGTCGTAGGCCAGCTCCCCGCCATACACACCCAGATCCCGCTCCACCCACCAGTCCCCCTCTCTTCGCCCCTTGCCCCTCTGAGCGAAAGCATACTCGCAGATCTGCCCACCGCAGACGACACGACACGACACGACACGACACGACACGACACGACACGACACGACACGACACGACACGACACGACCAACGACACGACCAACGACACGACGCACAACATTGCACGCGCACGCATGATTGAGTTGGTTACAACCACCAGCAACTCAACTATCATCTCACCCCACGAAGGCAGGCGTACACGAGTGCGAATGTAGGCGGGCGGCTTATCGGTGAAGGGATTGTGTTGGACCAGGGCGAGAACGGCAGGCGTGTTCTTGAGGAGACCCGCCAGGAAGGCCTTGTACCACTCGGGCGGGAGCGGGTTGCCCTTTTGCACACTCAGCGGAATGATCCACAGGTGCCAATCCAACCTACACATCCATCCACATTGCATATATATAAGAATAGGATATATCTATCTCTACACCAATCAACTGTATCAGGGGATAAAATAGATAATATAAAAACAGAAATTATTTCGACATTCTATATTATCTATATATTCCAAAATATGAAAAGATGTGTAAGGTGGTAGAAGTACCGAGGCCAGTAGGTGGGCGGGGTGACGATGAGCGGGAGGTGGGATGGGCGGGAGGGCTTGAAGTAGAAGCCGTAGCGCCGCCAGTCGGTCTGGCCGTCGTCGGAGCCCTCCACCACCAGCTCCCACCGCTTGTCGTGCAGGCCCGCGAACATGCCGTACACGTTGACCAGGCAGTAGGGCGACACCAGCCCGTAAAGCCAGTAGACCACATCCGGCAGCGGTCTGGGTTCGGTTGGAAAACAAGAGGCTCAGGGTGGGACAATCTGCACGCACCACCGCACCACCGCATAAAGAGAGAGGTGACCTGGTCTTGGTGACGTCGACCAGGGGAACGATGGAGAGAACCAGATAGGCTGCCGCGTAGGTTACGACCGCCAGCTCGACCCAGGCAGACGCAGTAACCTTGTCTGCTATCCGATTACGTGAGTGACGGACGAGATGAGCGAACGGACTGGAGTGCTGACGATTGTCGAGGAGTGAAAAAAAAGGGCTAAACCTGACGAGGAGGCGTGCTGCAGGAAGCTGGGCAACATCCAATCGTCCAGGAGAGGAATGCTGGCCACCACAGTCGTCAACCCCAGATGGCCGTAGTTACCTTTGGTGAACGAAGGCTGAGTTTCGTTTCACACACAACAACACACACAACACACACAGACACACACACACACACACACCACAAACATTCACACGGCGCACGCTGGGTGCGCACCGGTAAGGTTGATCATGGCCATGAGGCCCGCATTGGCGACGAACACGAGCAGGCGGCCCTCCCACGACGGGTAGAAGACGAGAAAGCACAGCGGCAGCTCCACCACGAGAGCTACCAGGGTGCTCATCTTGTGAGCCCACTTGGGCGTGTAGAGATGGAAGTAGAACGACAGTCTATTGGGCAGCGGCTGCGTCTCGTAGTGCACCTGTCGCACGACACACGACACACGACACACGACACACGACACACGACACACACACGTTGGAGAAACTGCACGCGTGTGCGGTGTGGCAAAGTGGTGGTACCTCCATGGCGGTGAGGTCGCGCCACTTGGGCGAGCCGAACCACTTGACGAGGCCGGCAGAGAGCATCAGGCGAAAGACGAAGAGGCGGAGCACGGCCGAGGGCAGGTGGCAGGAGTAGGCAGCCAGGAGTGGCAGCGAGGTGTGGGTGTACTTGAGCGGGGAGAGCACGGCGGCCAGCACGGAGAGCTCCACCATCATCGGCTCCGTGAGCAGGATGAACGGACCCAGCACCGTCACCAGCGACAGGCTACAGAGTCGTGTAGAGGTTCAGAATACACACAAAATGTGAACATGGAGAAGGTGGAAAAAACAAACATCAATAGATGCGTGCCTGCAGAGGGAGATGAGCCACCACAGCGGGTGGAGCGAGGGGAAGGCGACCAGCAGGGCGGCCGCGAGGGCGCCGAGGGCGCACGCGGCCTTGAGGGCCATATCCGATGATGCCAGCCAGAACACCGTAGGGTTCCTGTAGAGCGCCAAGTAGAGGCTCTTCCTCCATCCTACATGTTCGGGAAGAAGAAGGATGAGGAATGCAGAAGAGAATGAGAAGAAGTTGAAGAGAGTAGAGGGGGTGGGAGTACCTGGACTCCACCGCACGCGGATGGAGCGTAGGGCCTCCTGAACGGGTCGCAGACCGTCTCGGCCGAGGAGACCCGCTATCTGCGCGTAGAACGAGAGAAAGTGGGCAACGTGGCATACTGCCAAGCCTCGCTCGAACAGCTCCCACACCGCCGCGTCTTCCACCTCCATCATCTGTTGTTACCTGGCGACTTTTCCTTCGGTGCAACCCCTTTTTTGCTCTCGTTCTTCTTTCGCTGTTTTCCTGTCAGGGAAGGACCACTTCATGGAGCGTGCTGGAGACGCAAGCGTGAGCCTCGTGGTCATCGGCGACTCGCTCGCTGGTGAGATGCCTTGTTCTTTACTGTTTGAATTTATTACGTGATTTTGGTGATTTAGTGATTCATTGATTCATTGATTTGTTGATTTATTTTCGTGGGCAGGCAAGACAAGTGTGGTGCAGCGGTACATCCATGGTCGCCCGCCGGCCGAGAGCTATGCGCCCACGGTCATGGACCAGTTCGCCTACGCCGTCAACGTGGGCGACCGCACCATCCAGGTCCACTTGTGGGACACACGTACGCTGCGTACTCACCGACACCCACTGCCACACAACACACGCCACACGCCACACCGCACGCCACGCCCTCGTAGCGCGCTAACCTGGATTGTGCACGCAGAGATGTGGCAAAACGTGGATGCCGATTGCTATCTCCTCTGCTTCGATCTCAGCGACATGTCTGCGCTCGCCCGCATCCAGGACAAGGTGCGGCGTAGACCCCGCACACGCACCACCGCACACGCACACATCTGTTGCACTCATGTCGTGTGCCGTGTGTCGTGTGCCGTGTGTCGTGTGCCGTGTGGTATGACTGTTTTGGGGGAGTAGTGGTGCGGGCTGCTGCAGGCCAGAGCCAAGGACACGCCGTTCGTCGTGGTCGGGTGTCGGTCCGACCTGCGCGAGCGCGGCGTGGACTGCATCGACACCGAAACGGCGGCCCTGGTTGCCGAGGGCCTCGACGCCTGGGGCTACATCGAAGTAAGTGTGCCACCTCCGCCGCCACCTTAAAACCAGTTAAGCTTCTACCACCTGCACCCATGCTTACTGGTGCGAGCGTGTTAGTGTTCAGCGAAAACGGGCGACAAGGTGAAGGACCTGTTCGACAACGTCGTGCTGTGCGCGCTCGAGGGCCAGGCGGAGTCGCGCGCTGCTGCGACGACGACGACAGCGCCCACGGTGCAGGCCACGCCGCCCGGCCAGCGCACGACGGCGGAGGAGACAATAAAGGGAAAAGAGAAAGCGAACGACAACGACGAAGCCGAAAATGAAGTGCAGCCCGACGAGGGCAAGTTCACCCGGCCTGGCCTCTCAACCGACGAAAAAGGTGCGTTTCTATGTCGTGTGCGCGTGCGGGTGAGCAGGAGGTGTGTCGTGCGGCGTTTTTCCAACTAACGGCGTTGACGGAGCAGAGAAGTGGGAGAACTTCCACTACTGGAACGTGTTCGGAATGGAGAATTGGTATCCGCTGCTGAAGGACTTCACATTCCCCACCACCCTCCTCCCGCTCTCGCAGGAGGAGGCCCTGGCCTTCGTCGACGTAAGCCCGCTCCTCTCTTCCACACACACGCGCACACGCACCACCGCACACGCATGCGCGCACAGGCACCACCGCACACACTGCACCTTTTGGCGCGACTCACGCGTGATGTTCTTCGGCGGGTCGACGCGTGTGCTATCACAGTATCAGGAACGGGCGCTCAAGTCGCTTGACCAGGCCGATCTGCCGCCGGTCACATCGCCCGTTCTCAAGCACCTGTACACCTCCTTCATTCACTCTCTCCCTTTGTCCGCTCATTTACGTTTGTTTTACTGCGTTGGCCAACCCGTAACCGCACACGCCGTCACACACACGCACACACACACAACACGACACACACACACACACACACACACACACACACACACACACACACGCACACACACGACACACACACACCATCGCACGGACAGAGAAACACGACTCGAGGGGGCATTGGAGGACCACCCCTGCGGCGCGTTCGTGAAACTCTCCGATCGGTGGTACGCGACTGGCCCCAGGCCACTTCGTCCACGTGTTCAGATCTGAGCCTTCTCTGATTCATCCGTTCCCGCTGGGGTACCCCAGTCCTAAGGACGGTGCCACGGGCAACGGCCGAATTCAACAGCACCTGGACGCCGCCATCGAAAACGTAACGCTTCGCTCCCTACGTTGTGTGTGTGTGTCGTGTGTGTGTCGTGTGTGGCTGAAACCCATTGGGGTGTATTGTTTGCTTCAGGTAACTGAACGCAATATCACGAGCAACCAATACGGGCTATGTGCGCTCTACACGTATGATCACCCTCCATGATTCATCTTCGCTGCGTCGTGTGTCGTGTGTCATGTGTGGCAGTGTGTGTGTCGTATGTCGCGTATGTGTAAAGACTGAGCTTCCACGTATGTAGGGCGTTGCACCGCGCGATGCGGGTTGAGAGCGCCGAGGAGGCCCTCAAGCTCCTCCTGATCTCCTTCCGCACCCTGGAAGACGTCAAGGTGCACCCTCGTCTCTTGTCTGCACTACACCAAATCATCATTTGCAAAACACAACGAAAGACTAAACGACAAACGAAACAATGTCATGAATGAACACAGAAACGCCTGGAGTACCGAGAGCGGACCTGGAGCCTCTGCGTGGCGGTGCGACAGTGGGTCGACTTCGCGCCCGCCATGCAGTTCAGGGGTACATGGCCGCAAGTTCCCCTGTGTGAGTGTCATGCGTGTCTCTAACGACGTTGGTTGTTCAACCCTGGTGGCCACCAAGGCTTCGTCTACCAGGGCCGCTTGAACGCGCTGTCGCAGTACTTCTACGACTGCTACTTCCCCGTGCTGCAACGACACAAGGACAAGATCGAAGCCAGGTAACCAACCCACGACACACACCGACACAGACGACACCCACACCACATGACACACACGCCCGATTAACGCGCACAACGGGGCTATAGTTTGGTGAGCTTCTGGCAGTCGTTCCGGGAGAAGGTGCCCTACAAGTCGTACGTGGTCGACTTGGCCATACTGCCGTGCGATCTCGACCAGGCCGACCCCTTGCCCGTGCGCATCATCGAATTCAACCCCTTCGTGCGCACCCCCTAAATCTCCCGTCTCTTACTCGTTGACTCTCCCTGACAGCTTCCTACATGTGTCGTGTCGTGTCGTGTCGTGTCGTGTCGTGTCGTGTCGTGTCGTGTCGTGTCGTGTGTTGTCGTGTGCGCACACAGGACTATTACACTGACGGTATTCGCGTCTCCCAATTGTTTCGATTGATTGTGAGAGGTCTTGTTTCGTCTGTTCTCATTTCTTCTTTCCTGCGCAGCGGCCATGTTCAACTGGCTGGCGGACAAGCAGACGTTCCGCGAGGGTCCCTTCGAGTTTCGCATCAACGAGGCACGCCCGCCGCAATCATCACCATCACCATCAATCTTGAAAATGTCTTACGTTTTGGAGTGCGGCACCCACTGACCGGCCAAGCAACTGTTCCTGGTGGTACAGACGGCGGCGGTCGTGGGCAGCAACGTGTGGTGGATCAAGCTCATGAAGAAGCACCTCGCCGAACGAAACACCAACAACCGGGCATAGTTCTACATCGGGCACGACTCCATCGCACTGTAGTCATCATTTTTGTTACATGTTTGATCAAGACCCCAGACCACCACCGAGCGACGCGTCATCAAACACAATGCTGCCGCCCGTGGTCGAGAAGCCCTTGACGGGCGCTGCCCTCACCGGCACCACCGGCCGCCCACCAGCACCAGCCACTCGCCTAGCGGTGCCTAGCATGGTGCGGGCGGCGTCGACGCTGAGCGGCGGCTGTCGCCAAGCTTTCTGCTACCTTGTTCTCCCGCCGCACACGACACGACACGACACGACACACGGGGATGTGACCAAATCTTACGTTCGTTCGTTTACATGGTAAGCACGGCCCGGGACATGGGAGAGGTTGTGGTGGTATCAACTCAGCTGATCTGGTTGATCAGCCCTCGGCCCCACTTGAGGTAGATGATGACGCCGATGGAGGCGATGAGCAGGAGGATGATGAGCACCAGGATGATCTTGTTGGTGATCACCCTCCTGCTCATGCCTAGCAAAATCGTTCGCGTGGTCTTCATGTTGTCATTGACATCTTGCACCTGCAGCATTATATGTAACATGCTATTAGCATGATTGTGTTGTGTGTGTGTGTGTGTGGTGTGGTGTGTGTGGTGTGTGTGTGTGGTGTGTGTGTGTGTGGTGTGTGTGTTGGCGCGATGCGTGTGAGTTGTGTGCGGTGTGAGACGTACCTTGCCGTAGGCTCGTTCGAGTTTCTCCCGGTCCTCCCTCAGCTGGCCCTGAATCTCGTACCCGATCTGCTCGCTCTGCAGCGCCGTGCGGTGGGCCTGTGCGCAGGAGGGCGACACCACCGGTGAGAAGAACGAAGAACGAATGCGACGATGAAGAGGAAGAGGAAGTTGAAGTTAACCAACCACGCCGTTCATGGCGGACAGAGAAGTAGAAGAGAGAGAAGGAGAGAGAGAGCCGAACGTACTCGGGCGAGGCGGTCGCTGTGGTCGTCGAGGCGTTCGTTTGTGTGAAGAAGCCGCGAACGCTGGTCTGAAGCCAACGCCTGGCAGATGAGAAAAGTGAGCATTAAAAAGAGAATGCATAATAATGAAGTGATGAATATTGGGATGCAATTAATTGTGTCGAAGATCGATTGAATTACTGTTAGTTTTCTTTGGATGGGAGGGAATGCGGGCTGGTGTACCTCTACGTCATCATTTTGCCAATCGCGAGCCCCCGAAAAGAGGCTGTCTGGATTATATGCGCCTCGCCCTCCATAGTTGGAGGGAGGCGGGGCCGTAGCCGCAGCTCCATAGGAACGTGTGTTGGGGGCCTTGCCTGCCATGGGTGTATGTTCTCACAAGTCTAATGTAGCCCCTGTTGTGAGAAGAACAGTTGTTCGCCTTTCCGTAATTTATTCTCTTTTTCCTCGATTTTCTCTTCTCCCCCCCAAAGGAAACAAGTACAAAAAATTAAATCATTTCTCGGCCTGGCGGCGGCTGCCGTTGTGGTAAATGCCGAGTAGACGCGACGGCGCACGAACAAGTGCGGGCAGAAGACGCCGACACCCACCACAACGCCAACACGCCGCCCGCCAGCCTGGCCGAGCGATGGATGCACGGCGCCTTGTTGTTGTTGAGTTCCATTGTTTTTGACTGGCGCAAAGAGAAGAAACCCATTGATGATGATGGTTGCGAGGTGCTCGTCACGATCACGATCACGTGATTCGTTTTGTCGGCCTCCAAAAAGGAAGAAGCTCAGTCAACAGAAGAACAAGACAGAAAAAGAAAGAAGACCCCAAGCACGGCAGAAGATGGAGACGGAGGCGGACTGCCACAGCTCCTTGTCCTCGCACCATCAGCAGCCTGCCACCGACACAGAACGCGCCGGCGCCGCGGGGCCAAAGGCGTGCGCAACGTGCCGTCTGGCCCACGTCTCTTGCGACCGGTCCGTGTTGCCACTCCCCCAAGGCGCCCAACCAAAAATATAATCTGTTATTTATTTAATTTTATTTGTAATATATATTACAAATAAAAATATAATCTGTTATTTATTTAATTTTATTTGTAATATATATATTTTTATGCATTATAAATAGGAACCAGCCGTGCGCGCGGTGCATGCGGCTGGGCAAGACCGACAGCTGCCAGCCGTCGCCCACGCGCAAGCGCGGCCGCCCACGCAAGGCCCCATCCGACGAACAACCACCAGTAAGGCACCACCAACCACAACTGAGCAAGCGCGCCTGCATTCGGCCCACGACGACCAACGCTGTGGTAATGTCTGACGACACCACCACCTCCTGCCAACACCTGCCGTCACTGCAGCTCTGCCCTACAACGACAGCCAACTCAGCATCGCCAACCACCACCACCACCACCTACGCTGGCTCCACTTCGCTGCCTTCGTCGTCGCCGTCGCGGTCATCGTCATCACCAGCAGACGAGGGGTGCGCGTCGTTTTCACAGCCCGAGGCGAGGTCTCTTCCCGGCCACCAGCGATTCGCGCCGGCGGCGGGCCAGAAGCAGGAGCAGGACTCACAGGGGCTGCGGTCGCTGCTGATGCTGGTGGTGGACCAGATGCGCGAGATGCGGCGCGAGAACGAGCGACTGCACGACACCATCGCCCAGCTGTGCACCACACAGAAGGAGACCGAGCGCAGGCTGGCGCGCATGGAGCAGGATTACCAACCATCAAGCTCACGCAGACACGCATGGAGCTGGAGCTCAACCAGAAGAGCGACCACCACGCCACAACCCACCGACTTGACCACGTCCACACCCACACATGCCCCGCGTGCCCGCCTTCGCTTTCGTCTTGCCTGGCGGCGGCGGCGGCTGCGCGACCAGCAATCCCACCGCAATTGGACTCCCGGCCAGTACCTCGGCACAGTCGTCGTCTTGGTGCGTTGGCGTGCCGCACGTCGCGGCCGCGGCGCCCACGACGTCGCGAGCCGAAGTAGAGCGGTTCATCGCGCAGACGCTTCCGTTTCTGCGGGCGTTCGATCAGTCTTCGCTCATCATCCGCGACTTGCAGTACACGCCCGCCCGGCTTCCACGACTTCCAATCTGCTCCGATTGTTGTATACCCACTGCAATGTTCTGTGTACTCAACCCCCGTGGCGTGGGGCGTGGCGTGATCTGGACAGACGTCCATTCGTCGTCATGCACATGAACGAGGTCGAGACGCTGGACGACCTGATGCCCATCATCGTGTACGCGTCACCGTCCCTGTGCAGCCTCCTCGGCTACAACTCCGTACGCCGCCGCATTGCCCGTCCCACCCTCACCTGCCCCGCACACGACGCACACACGCACACACACACGACGCACACACGACGCACACGACTCACACCACCGCGGACGGGACGGCTGACTGTGGTACCGGTGGGCGGGGATGGTACTAACCCAACCAACAGTTTGAGCTGCACGGCTCGCCGATAGCTTCGTTCGGCTTCGCGGACCAGGAGTTTTTGCCAATGTTCGTGGAGATAGCGCTGACGCCGTCGCCCACGCCCGTCGGCCTGCCCCTCGGGGCGACCGGCGTCTTTGACACGAAAGACGGGCGCAGCGTGCGGGTGTCCACCACGCACCAAGTCCTCTACAGCCAACGACAGATGGTACTGCTCCGGTCACGAGCCCATTCTGATTTTTAACCATACAACACCCAACACGACACACACACACACACAGGCGCAATGGCTCATCATGCAGGTTGACAAGGTTCTAGAGTCGGCACCGCTCACGACGCCGGGCCTACGTGTCGTAAACGACCCCACTGCCCGAGCGATTGCCCGAGCGCACCTGCTCACGCGGCTGCCGCATTCGCTGCTCTTTGAGCTCCGCGGCCGCGGCCGCGAGTTGACAACCACCACCCAACTGCCCGATGCCGCACACCACCACCGAGATTCGCACCATTGCCTCCACCACCACCAGGCGTTCGTCGAGCCGCTAACGAGCCAGCAGCAAGACGATGTAGGGGCGATGCAGCCTGAACTACGGGCAGATGCCGAACTGGAGGAGCTCATTCGGGTACTCGGGTCGCCGAGCCAGGGCAGCGGCGGCCGGGTGCGTTCGCCGCAGATGACGATGGGCTTCACCTCGCGCCCGCCACCCACGCCCTCCAGTCTCGCCGAGCGATGGATGCGCTGAGCCGAGCGCAACCTGCAAACGGAACAAATAAGATTGAGAGAGGGCCACCGCCGTGAATGCGACTGTGACAGCAGACGCGCAGACGCGCATGGAGCTCAACAAGATGATGGCGATTCATCAATGATGGCGAGTCACTCCCGTTCACAGCCGGCACAACCGTGCGCTGGACTGCTTGCAGAAGGTGAAACAATAGGGTGAAACCAATAGGGGTGGTCGGGACAGACATTGCCGGTGATCATCATCAGGCGGCCGTTCCTGCTCGCGCGGCCGCCGCATTCGCTGCTCGCTGGGCAGTGCAAGTTGACCACCGCCCCCCAACCGCACCCATATCACAATCTTAATTGAAGGCCCACCCACACACCAAGCCAACACGTCATCAACATCTATATCTATGGATATACTGTATTTCTTCATTTCTTCTAATATAACCAGAAACATGAAGGGGGCGGCATGTTGCCCAAGGCTATTGGCATTGATCTTAAATGCGGGTGCCGGTGGGGTGGGTGGCGGCCATGGCGGGATCGGCCATGCCGTGCTTGAGCATGCGGCCCTCCTCCTTCTTGACCGGGTTGCGCGTGATGGTGCCGGCCAACTCCTTGGCCGTGCCCTTGATCTTCTGCCCCACCGTCGAGTGCTGCTGCTCGTGGTGGTGGCCTGTGGTCGTGGTGCCGGTGGTGCCGTAGCGCTCGCCGGGCAGGGTGGTCGCGCCGGCCGTGGTCGACAGCCGCCGCTCGGCCTCGAGGGCGCCCACACCACCACCATGATGGGCACCGGCGGTGGTGGCGAGGGGCTGGTGCTGATGGGCGGAAAGGCCGGTGGTGCCTGTGAGTGCAGCGCCCATCAAGGGCTTCTCGACGACGGGCGGCAGCATCGTGGTGCGGTCCTGCTCGAGGACGCGCCGCTCGGTGGTGATCTGGGTCTTGATGGTGGGCTGGATGCGGTGCTCGCGCTCGTGGATGACCGGCTGGATGTGGTGCTCTCGGCGCACCTCGACCGGCCGCTCCACGACGACCTCGCGCTCGACGATGGGCTGGTGCTCCACCACACTGGTCGTCGCACCACGCATGGCTGTTCCAAGACCAGTTCCGGCGGCGGCGCCCGCGAGCGGCATGCTCGCGCCGGTCACGCCGTGACCATGCTTGAGGGCCTTGCGTTCCTGCTTGGACAGGTGGTGGTGGTGGTCGTTGTGTCCCATGAGGCCGGTACCGGTGGCCGGCAGCATCGTGGTGGTTCTAGCCAAGGGAGCAGCACCTAGGGGAGAGGCGCCGATGGGAGTGGTGGTCGACTGGTGGAGAGTCGACTGGCCGATCGGCAAGTTGCCTGGTGCGCCGCTGGCCTGGGGCATGGTGGTGTTGAGCAGGCCGCCGGTGGTGGCGCCGATGGGCGTGGTCGATGGGCGCAGCGGCGACTGGCCAACCGAGGTTGCTCCCAGGTTGTTCAACCCGTTACCGGCCAAGGGAACGGTCGTGGTGTGGTGTTGGTAGTGTTGAAGTTGGACATGGTTTCGGTGTTGTTGTAGTTGTTCGCTTGTGTTGTTGGTAATGATGATGTTGCTACAACATGACTGCAGGTTTATGTAGTTCGTGGTGGGTACCGGAGGAGAGAAGCCAACGAAAGAAGGAACCAAAGCCCAGGGGATGGTGAGGTGGCCGCAAGGAGGAGCTCAACGTGCACCCGTGAGGCCACCATCTCCAGCAGCTATAGGGCGTGACACTCTCTTCGGGGAGCGGTCGTGACACCAAACAAAGGTAAGGCACGTACGGAATGCTCAGTTCGCCCAACCCAGCCCTTTCTTTCGATTGGATTCCATCACACTTATTGCAACTCCGCCAACGGCACATGTTGAAACCAACTTGACACTAACTCCAGTTGGCCAATCAGTATCTGGGATTTATGTTATGTTGTTATGTTTAATGATAATGTGGTGGGACACGGAGAGTACAGCGAGAGCTGCGCTCAGAAGAGACGCGTCTCGGCAAAGAGGGCGAGGGTGGCGGCGAGTGCGCGCATGGCGTGGGCCAGCCCGAGCGCGTTTCGTGGCTCCATGACTCGCAGGGCTCGCGCGTTGGTCCAAAGCTTGATTTGTGTCACAAAATAGGCCTTTTAACACACACACGACACACGACACACCGCACACACTCACGGTCAGCTAAGGCTACAGCGAAACCAGGCGCGGGGGCGAAGGGCGTACGGCGGTCTTGGTGGCGAGGTTGATCTGAGCGGCGAGGACGGGCTCCTGGCCGCCCAGCGCGTTGGCGGTGACGAGGGCCATGCAGATCATCTGCGTGGCCATGCCTGTGGCCTCTCGCGCGCCCTTGATCACGCGCCCGGGGTCGATCGGCTCCACCAGCGCCTTGCACACATTGTTGTTCAGCTCCGCCGCCTGTGCGACACACGACATGACACGACACGACACGACGCACGCGACACGCGACACACGACACGACACGCACAGCACACTGTGGTGAGCGTCGACGGCGAAGCTGTTGTGATTTGGGGAGGGGGGACACGTACGACTTGAGCGATGAGGGCAGCGGCCTGTCGCTCGCGCGGCTGGGGTGGTGGGGCGGGGGCGGAGGGCGAGGACAAGCGGGCCGAGGCCGCAGCGAGCTGTCGCAGGGCCACAGCGAAGTGGGCCGACTCGTCGCCCCCGGCGTTCATATCCGCAATCGTCGATTGTTGTGCTGTGTGGTCGATCCAACACGACACGCGACACGCGACACGACACGACACGACCAACGACACGACACGACACGAGAAGAGATTAGCCGCTCAACCACCAAACGAAGGAAAGCGATGAAGGGAGGCAGGCGTCGGTACAGGAAAGGGTGGAGAGCTTGTGGTACTGTTCGGCGAGGGCTCGGGCCAGGGCGGCCAGGTTGCTTCGCGCGGCCTGGCGGAAGGTTAGGTTAGGGTCGGGGCGTGACGACGCAATCGCGGTGAACTCGCAGACGGTGTAAAGGGGTACCTGGTCCTGGGGGTTGGAGTAGGCGGTCTTGGCGGAGATGATGAGGGCCTCCATGATGCGTCCGATGGTCCAGCCGGCCTCGCCCACCTGCTCCTGGCCCTGCGTGTTACCCATTCGCAGCATCGTTCGATACACCTCCCGCATCAACTGTAGTAATTGTTGTCAGCTTTCAGCACAAACGACACGCACGACACGCACGACACGACACGACACGACACGACAGGGGTACGTTGATGGCGTTGGCGGCGGCGAGACGTGAGGATTTGAGCAGGGCGATGTCGGACGTGGGCTGCAGGGCGGCCTGCAGCAGCGCTTTGGTGGCCACCGCGGTCTCCTGCACGGCCGACGCCGTCTCGGCGCCGATCTGACCGACGAGCGAGAACTGGACGTTGGACACCGCATGCGTGCCTCGCTTGGCCATGTCGCCCAGGTTCTTGTATGGCGTTATCGCTCCTGCGTTGCATCTGCCCGTGAGCGCACAACACACACCGCACACACCGCACACACCGCACGTACCGGGATCTCCGTTGATTTGGCGCAGGACGAGGGAGAGGCCCGACACGCTTTGCATGGCGCGCTGGGCCGCGGACTCGACCTCACCGCCGACCTGCTGGCTGGCGCGCTTGAGCGCGCGGAGCCCGCTCGAGAAGCTCACCAGCGACGAGTTGAGCAGGAGGATCTCCTGGTCGCCGAACGGCACCGACGCAGCGCCGAGCGCGAGGTGTGACATGGCCTCCACCATCTCCTCCAGCGCCGACTCGAGCTCCGCCACGCCCGCCGCCGCCGCATTCAGCCGGGTGCCCATGTCGCTGCCGCCGAACGGGTCGACCGGCGGCGGCTGGGCCTGGGGCGACGGCGCGCGCTGCTGGTCGACGGACCGCGACAGGGCGCCGGGCGAGAGCGACTGCACCTGCGCCACCGGCGATGGTGCCGGTGATGCGGTGACGGGCTGGGCGCCGGCGACACTCAGTCGGCCCATGGCCGGGGCGAGGCCTGTGACCGACGTGGGCGCGCCGGGCGCAGTGGGCTGGATGTTGGGCATGGCGACGGCCGGCTGCGGCGACGCAGGTGAACCGGGCGCGGGCGTGGCGTCGACGGTCGCGGGAGCGGCGGATGATGAAGATGAGGAGGAAGAGGATGCGGCGCCGGAGGCATCGGCGAGGCTGACCACCTTGTCGCCCCACTTGGCGGTCGAGGCCGACGGCTCCTGGTAGTAGTAGACTCGCGGCGCTTTCGATCGCTGGATCGCAGCCTCGCCTGCAATTGTAATCGTACCAGAGAATTAAATTGAATTGTTATTTCCTGATTTATATTTCCTCATAAATAAATTCAGAATTAATAGTATCGAATATAATTATAATTAATAGATTAAATAAATAAAAGCATATAAACAAAAGGTGGGGAGGCAAAGAGAGAGGCGAGCGGTACTGCGCATGCGTTGGGTGGCGCTGCGCGAGAGGTACTGGTCGCTCTTGTCCCAGACGGTGTGGCCGTGCTTTGTGGGGATGTCGGAATTGGCTCCGCTGCGGATGAGGAAGTAGGCCATCGCCTCCTTCCGCGCTATCACCGCCCTGTACAACGCCTGCACTCGCAAACACATAGCATCACACACACGACACCACATCACACGACACACACGACACACACGACACAACAGCACAGCACAATAACGCAGAACACGAAAGGCCCAGAGAGAAATAAGATGAGCTCATTCTTGCGACACCTGTTGGTGAAGAGTGTGTGCGTACTGTCTGTCCCTGGTTGTCTTGCGAATCCAGATTGAATTTGTATTCAATGAGGAATTTGACTAAATCCATTTTATCATTTTCGGCGGCGATGTGCAGGATCGTGCGTCCCTCCGCATCTTGAGCGCCAAGCGGCGTGCCCTGTAATTTAATGCAAAATATATCATTTTAAAATAAGGTTCCAAGTAGCCCATCTTTGGCAAGATCTCGAGTGGCGCACCTTCTTGAGCAGGGCTTTGATCTTTTTGAGGTTGCCTTTGGTAGCGGCCTTGAAGTAGGATGCAGTCTGCTTGTTACTCATCTCGGCCGCTCACTCGTCTATCACCCTGGTCGCCTCCTCTTCTTGTTTTCGTTCACCAGTGGTGTTCGTGCAAGCCTCCCACAGCCACGTCAGGCTGACGTCAGCGCCATTTTGCCGTTGTTCCATTTAATGTAGACATGGCGTTTTGGCGCGAAACAGAACCGGTGCAAAAACGGTACAAAGCACGCGTTGTGTTGTCCGTCGGCGAAGCACATTTCAACGCGATTGGCGAGTTGGATTGAGTCAGGAAGGAGTAGAAGAAGAGAGGAGAACATAAGTTGTAGAAAGATGGAGTTGCTTCCCAATCCCGAGCAGATGAGACACATGCTGAGATCTCCACGACGGCCGGACCTGCTGCGAATCTCACCACGCAATAACTACAGACTTAAGCGGCGAGATAGAAGGTGAGCCTCTTCATCTACGCTCTCTTCGACTTACACTCCTCTCAAGCTCATCACACTGGAGTCACGGTTTAACTAATCTCTTTTCGTCTTCATCAGTGAGGAGGATGAACAGAAAAAGATCGGCAAGGGCCGAGAAGGCCAGCAGCTGTTCGTCTATCACAAGAAGAAGCGAACCGAGAAGTTCGTTCGGAGCGAGACCAACCATCGGGTGATGACCAAGGCCGAGCTGGCCGGCTGGGAGAAGGAGGTCGAGCGCGCGCACCCGGACAACCCCAAGATTTGTGGCGGCGCCGGCGCCACCGCCATCCCGGGCATCGCCCTCAAGGCCGATCCGCTGCATCGAAGTGCGCTGCTGCGCGAGAAGGAGAACGTCGACTTCATCCTCAACAATGAAACATTCGAGCTAGCCGAAGAGGAGATTTCGCCAGCGCCGGAACACAACAAGAAGCGACACGGCGCGAAGAGCCCGCTGCGGCTCGAACTCGACGTCAGCGTCATCGGCATGGCGACGAATCGCCACCACAACACAGTGGAAGCCTCGTTCATCGATCCTCTCTCGTCATCCACAATGGACATTTCCATAATCGTCCCGCCAAGCCGATCTCGCTCATCCATTGCCCAACCCTCGGCATCATCCACGAAGAGGCTGGCCCTCTCACACGTCGCCGATCCGCTGACGCCAGTCGTCCCGGCCCAACAGCCCACCAGGCGCTACGCGCGGCGGGGCAAGACGCGACCAACCTGCAAGCTGAGCACCATCCCTGAGACACAACAACCTACGCCTCCATCTTGATCATGCTTTCTTCTCGCGCAAGTTCTCATTCCACTTCTTTATTATTTTATTCTTGTACATTTTTAATACTCGCATTTGCTCCGATTAGGATAAATACAGAATATGTATTTATTTCGTAAAGCCACATAAAAAATAGGCTCTACACGTACCTCTGATCATCAGCTGGAGGGGATCTGGCGGAGCGATGAGTAGAAGTTGGCGCAAGGGGCGTGGTAGAGCGAGCCTTGGAGCGAGAGCTGGACGTCGAGCGGGGTCACGGAGGCGAGACACAACGGGCAGCGCGAGCGGCCAGACCAGGCCTGCTTGTCGCTCTTCTCCAGCTGCTCCTGCCACCGCTGGAGGTCGGTCAAGGGCTTGAAGTTGAGACCGGCGATGACCTCCTTGAACACCACCCACGCGGTGTCGATCTCGAGAGCCAGCTCCTTGGCCATGTCCGACTCCCAATTCTTTCCCACGCGCCTCCCGATCTTGTACACCTCGCACAACCCTGCATTGATCATGGAACGTTGTTAGTTAAGTGCAGGATTCACGCACTACACACGACGCACACGACACACACACGACACACACGACACACATGGTGGCTTACCGAGCAGGTAGGCGTCAACTTTCTCCGAACGGAGGGTCGAGGAGAGCATGGCCGCGTTGGAGACCTCCACAAGCTGCTGAAAGATCACCGAGCCTGGTGCGTGAAAGGAAAGGGGAGGGAGAGATCAGCGAGGGTTGAGCGTTACGCCGAGCAGAGAAGAGCGGCGCTGGACAAACCTTGCTGGAGATGGACCAGGGTCTGTCGCATGGCTTGCTCGTGCCAGTCCACCTGGCCCGGGCGGGCCGATTTGGCCTTCTCACCGGCCGGTGCGGCAGCCGCGGAGCCATTGTCGAACGACGCGAAGCTGCCAAACTCGGACGAAGCCGATCCGTCGGCGGCGAGATGGTGATGCTTGCGTGCTTCGGCTTCCATCGCCCGGGCGACGTCGGGGGAGGGCAGCAGCGGAATACCACCGCCGTTGGCGATCAAACTGGGCGACGGGAATGCCGCGGGAGCTGACGCGGGCATCGGTGGAGCGGCGGAAACGGCGAAGGGCGGGACGGACGATGACGACGACGAAGCTGCGGAAGAAGACAAGGGAGGGCCGAACGAGAGGCCGGAGAAGGAGGAAGCAGGCTCCGAAGCTACGGGCGCAGCCGCGGGAGGTTCGGCGGCCGCGGATGGGTTCGACGCGAAGGACGTCCACTCGTCGTCTTCCGCTTGGCTGGGCTGAGCCGATGGTGCCGACATCGGCACGGATTCGGGCGCAGTGGGCTGTTGTTGAGTCGCGTAGGGCATCATTGCCGCCGACACGGCGAGCATGTGGTGGTAGGCGGCCATGTTGTAGTCGCTGACCGACATGCCCGAGGCCGCGGCGGGCGGGAACGCAGCAGCAAAGCCGGGCGGTGCGGTCTCAAAGGATTGTTGGTGGCCGGCCAGCTGCTGAGAGGGTACTGCAAAGGTTGAGCTGGCGAAGTCATTGGCACTGGCCACGACCGGGTACGCAGACGCGTTGAATCCTAGAGCATCCGCTGCAGCAAGGACAGGTCAGCATCCCTCGAGACACAGTCGCTGACATCTGATTTTGGGCGAGAACCTGATGATGTTGCACGCTCGGACACGAAGTCGCCAAAGTCGTCGACTTCGGCAGTCGGTGCTGCGCTGGGTTGCGGTGCCTCGGTGGCGATGTTCGCGAAGATATTCTTGTACGAGTCGTCGTTCCAGTTGAAGGCTCGCGTGCTCTGCGCTTTCGTGGCTGCCGACTGTTGAGGGGAGAAAACGAAACACGAAATTAGCAGACCGTAACCGACTGAGCGTCGCGCTGTCCGGGCGGTACCTGAGTGACCGGCTGTGCTGGCTGGCTGACCTGGTCGGGCTTCTTTGCCGCCTCCCCAGCCAGCGTCCTCTTCTCGATGTTCGAGAACTTGTGCATAAGCGCATCGAGGTTCGATGACGAAGGCGCCTGAACCGCGGGCGCTTTGCTCGGCGCCGATGGCGTAGACGCGGCCTTAGGACCAGAGGACGAAAAGGTCCAGTCCTCATCGAATCCATTGCTCGGGAGTCCAGCAGAGACTTGGGAAGCCGGTGGGCTGGGGCTCGGCATGGAGGCGGATAGAAGTGACGGTGCCGACGATTGCTGTGAAGCAGGTGGCGTGGCGATGCGGCTCGTAGATGACGCGGCCGGTGCGGCGGAGAAGAACAGATCAAAATCGGAGGCGGCGGAAGCAGGAGCTGGGGAGGAAGAGGGTGCAAGAGGCGCGAGCGCTGCCGCCGGCGGTTGAGAAGCAGCATCAACAGCCGCAGGTTGACCTACCATTGGCTGGGAGGAATGGGGTGCGCCGCTGCTGAGCGGTGCCTTGGGCGCGGAAACGAAATCCTCGAACTCGCCGGAAAGAGAAGCAGCAGAATGAGAAGAAAAGGAAGAGGCCGGAACGCTAACGGAGGGTTCCAGCAGCGAAGCCGAGGCGAGTGGCCCGGAACGGAAAGCAGCTGTTGCTGGAGGAGGTCCGCTGGCGAGTGCATTGAGGCTAGGTCCCCGCGCGGGTGCGGGAGCAGCCGACGACGAAGGGGCGAGAGCAGTCGATGCGGCGGGCTTCATGATGGAGGAGAAGAAGCTGTTCACTGTCCCGGACGACGAACCAGCGGAAGGTGTGGCACTCAAGGAGGAGAAGGCGGAGGCAGACGAATAAGAGGAAGAGGTGCCGGCAGGTGCAGCAGGTGTCGGAGTGAGGCCAGCGTGAGGAGGGAGCGAAGCACCCATCATCGAGCCGAAGGTAGAGTAGGAGGAGGGAACCGCAGAGGCCAAGCCCGTAGTGTGGAAGGCGGAGGGAGCCGCGTCTGCAGAAGCAGCGGAAGCAAACTCGCCAAAGTCGTCTGTGGGCGCCGCCTGCTCGTGTGCTGGCTGGGCAGCTCCTGCGGCAGGCACAGCGTACTGATACATAGCCGGCATCTGCGTGCAAATGAGATTCTTATTATCTCTATCACTTAATGCCCTCAACAAAGGCGCATGTACCTGGTACATGGCTGCCTGCTGTTGCATCGCCGCCCAGTACTGTTGCTGTTGTTGGTACATCGCCTCGGCAGGTGTCCCCGCAGTAGCGCTAGGATTCCCACCGTAGCCGTAGGCCGTGCCCGTGGCACCCCATTGCGCCGCGTTGGGCGTTTGCCCCACCACGGCTGGGGTGGCGTAATAGTAGTAATTCTGTTGTGGATTCGACATGTTCGCCCTCCCTTTCGATCTTCTGGCTAGATACGCAAGCCCAGGAAAATGGCGCCAAAGATGAAAGAAAATCAAATAGAAAAGGGAAATAAAACCAAACGCAGGCAAAGATGGCAACGGGTCCTGGCTCTCATCTTGCGTTTCACGGTGGCACGAAGCAGAAGCGACTAAGGCGATGAGTGCCAATGAATATATCGTTGCCAGCTCGCCGAGTCGAACTGTGCCGCAGTTTCTGAGGTCGCGCGAACTGGGTGCACCGTCTCCTGCTCGGCGCGAGGCGGAGGTGCGTAGCGGTCTTGTGGAGAGGCTGCCACTTTCTCTACGCGAGCGAAAGCTTCCTGTGGAGCGCTACCGGTTCGATAAGGTGCGGTTCTTCTACGTTCTTCTTCTTGCACCTTCTCGAAGCCCGAGCGACAGACGCACTCTTTGGTCAACGTGAAGGTCTTTGCATCCGCGTGGCTGGACGCCGATACCGTGGTCTTCGGCACAAAGGACAACAAGGTACTATCGCGCATCCACTTGGGAGAGGAGCTCAACCTTTCGCTTCGTGCTGCAGTTGTTCGTCTGCGGTCCCCGCTCTCCACGCGTGACGCACATTCCCTTGCACGACACTACACACGCGCCACTCGCCGACCAGTGCGGTATTCACAGGTTGTTCGCCTTCCTCACCCACTGGCGTTGATGAATCTCACTGTTCGATCGTCTGGTGGCCTTCTGTTCGCATCAGTTTCAACGACAACCGCAGTCTCCTGGCAACTGGCGCACGTTCCTTGAACGCCCTTGCCTCTGTCAGAGCGAACCACTTACGCTACTCATCGCTCTGTAGGCTGCTTCGGCCGCTGACATGCTGCTCGTGTCATTGCCCAGTTTCACTCCGGTCGCAGTGTTATCGGTAACATATCCTTCTCAATTCGCTTGAGAGGAGGAACTGATGTCCTTCGCTCTCACAGGGACATGACGATTGGGTGTTCTCTTCAGGTAACACGACACAGCAGACTCATGTCTATGGGCGACTCACAGTTGCGCGATGCATACCTCGCATCAGAGTTCGTGAGCGAAGACACGCTGCTTTCTTGTACGCTCGCTCACAAACCTAGCGCTACTCGTCTGGCCACTGACTAATACCCCTTGTACAGCTTCTCGTGACAGAACAGTCAAGGTGTGGCGATGCAACACCGACCAACCCGCAAACGAGGGGAGGTCGACGTCCCTGTGTGACGCGACTCTCCCGCGACTTGAGTCCGTGGTCACAAGGCGCGAGCATGCCTTCAAAGTGCGCGATCTCAAGGTTTGCCTGGCCCTCTTTGAGTAGCTTTCTCCGGCTTGCTGACCCTTCTTCTCACAGTATAACCGTAAAGCCGGCGTACGTTGAGGTGATGCACACTGAGGGTGGTCTGTAGCTGACGTGCTTCGTCTTGCAGTCGTTTTGTACTCTAGGCAGCGAGGGGTAATACGCCAGTACTCGGCGCGAGTGGGGCGCTTCTGACCTTTCCTTCACAGGTGCATCAAGGTGTGGGATGTGGCCAATTTGGACGTGGTACGGCTCCCGATTCAGGAGTGCCTTCCCCCTTCGGTGTGCTGAACTGTCCTTGTGCCCTGCTCTACAGATCACCACCGTACCACTGGAGGATACGAACGACCTGACTTGTATGTCCCTACAAGAAGATCATGACGTGGTTGGTAAGATTTACTCCCGTAACGCCGCTTTCAGCGCTAAAGCCCAGTCTTTTGCAGCTGTTGGTTCGCAGTACTGGATCACGCTGATCGACCGGCGGTCCGGCGTCGTCATCAACCAGATCCGCTCGGTGGATCAGGAGTGGGGTATGCAGGCATTATATCGACATCGTTGGAGCCTGATCATCCTCTCCTCTGCACACAGGCGTCCGCTCGCTAAACTTCCTAGGCCAGAAGACCATTTCCATCGGTATATCTTGTCCATCAACTGATGTGTATATTATGGAGGATGATCATCTTCGTGGTAGGAGGAGGAATGGGTCGTCTAGCGTTCTACGACATGTGCGCGGACAAGTACCGACCGATCGATAAGCACTCGCAGCAGCCCTACCTCACCCTGGGTGATGGCTGGATCGTACGTCACTATCCTCAATCGCGTACAACTGTCGCGGCTGACACCTTGAGATCATGTCAGGCCAAGGACGAGATGTATCGGAACTACCTCGCCCAGAACGTACGAAGCAACGCAGTCGCCCTGTACTGCTCGTTTGTGCCCACACATGTTCTTGGTGCAGCACAACCAGCCCGTTCCGAATGCTGTGTACACTCACTGTTATGATCCCACCTTCACCCGGCTCTTCGTTGGTACGTCGCCATCCGCTCCACTCGTGTCTTCTTTCAACACTCACCACTCTTCTTGTTGAAGGAGGCGGCCCGCTGCTGGTACAAATCTCTCCCCTTTGCGGCACACACCTACAGGTGCTCACCTGCGTGGACCATCCAGTTGGGGCTGAAGGGCGCCTACGCGGCATTCTGGTGAAGCGTCGCTCATCACGAGAGTTCAGGAGGGAACCAGCTACGCCAGGCGCAGGTTCTCTCCTCCAACACCCTTTCGAGTGTGCTCGCAGCTCATGATGGCTAATAGAAACGTTGTTTTGAGGCCAAACAGATGAAGCTGGAGGAGGGAGAGGAAGAAGAGTGGAGAAGAGGGCGCATATGTGTACATGATGATTACTCGTCGGGCGAGCCGTAGAGATCGTTCTGCTGGCCGATGGCCGGGATCGAGGCCGGGGTGTTGGGGCTCTTGGCCGCCTCCGACTTGGGGCTCGACACGCTCCGGGTGCTGCGGCCGCCGCCGCCGCCTCCACCGCCGTTCTTCAGCTTGCAGGCGGTGATGACCGCGATGAGGCCGACGAGAGTGAGCAGGAAGAGCAGGGCGAAGAATCCGCCGATCGTGCCACCGGCGATGGCCCCCGTGTTTTGCCTGCGCTCATCAAAGACGTGTACCTCTTCTGCACTCCACATCGTGGGTTGGGGGGGGGATTGCAAATCATCATCAATCATTGATTGTGAGAGAAGCACGACTTGTGTCTGTAGATGGAGTTGAGGGCCAAACCTTCCTGAGCAAAGGCGGAGATTGCCAGAATGAGCAGAAGGAGTGAAGATGTAAGAACAGAGTTCATCTTGTACAATGTTTGAGTATCGTCCGCCGCGTGAAAGGTGAACTGCACGTAGTTAGATTCTGGCTCTCCTCTCTGGCGCCAAACACCAACTAACAGTTTTGCCTTTTTGAGCTTCACTTTCCGTTTCTGGAGGTGGGCAGTTTGCGCGTGCTGACGTCAGCGCCCGCTTCACGGAGTTAGAGTTGTATTTCGATTGGACCCGCAGGGCGAAATTCTGGACATTATGGCACTCACGAATTCCACCATTTTAATCTTTTAATTTCGATTTTGATTCGCGCCATAACCATCGCCAAGGTCTCTACTTGCATCGTCGATTGATTGAAACAAAGGACCTTTGTTCTCTGATCATAGAATCGAGCAAGATCTTCTCGACAACGAGATCACATCGAGTAGCCTAGGAACAGAAACAGAATGAGCAAATTAACCGCCCTTGTGGTGTGCCTTGTAGTGTGTGCACTCTTCGGTTTGTCCTTCGGACAGGAGAATGATTTCCGAGGTACTTTATCCATCTTGCAGCGCAATCCATTTTGAAAATTCCTCATTCTGATCTCGTTGATTTTCACATTGTTCTTGCCGACGTCAATTCCAGAGACACAAAGGTACGCTTTTGTGATTCTATCCTTGATTATTTATCCGATTCTAAGGTCATGATCATTCTCATATCCCAGCTTCAAGAAAAGGGATCTCCCGCTCGATCCCGAAACTATCAAGGAGTGCATCGGCTCCGCACAATTTAGTCAGTCCGTTAGGACCATCTCTAGCTCCTACCGTGGTCCCCAGTCCATCGCTGCTGCTGACTTCAACAGTTGCGGGCCACCCTCCATCTTGATGCTTCTGCAGATTATTTCGATCCCACTGTGCTGATCTCTTCACGACCTTGTTTTTTTTTTTGGAGCAGAGAATGGCAAGCAAGACGTCGTAGTGGCCTACGCCACCGAGAACAAGGTCGTCTACTTCAGCAACCAAGGTGACGGCCTCTGGTCCGCGTCCGTCCTCGGCACCGTGAACGACGCCTCGGCCGTCTTCGCCGCCGACCTCAACGGTATAACTTTTTTCATCCTCTCAACTGTTGGTTTGTGCTGAGCCAAAGCTTTGGCTCATGTCTCACATCACATCACGTCTTGTTGTTGTTGTTGTTCTTGAAGGTGATGGCAGGATTGACGTGGTGGCCGCCTCGGAAACCGATAACCAGGTGCACTGGTTCAAGAACAACGTCGGCGGCTGGACTCACTACACGATCCTCGATGCGGCCATCTCCGCTCCCAGGTCGGACCACACTCTGCTCTCTCGCTCAACCTTTTTCTCGCAAATCAAACCAATTGTCCGTCTTCTCACCCCTGTTGTCAATTGCAGGAGCCTGTTCGTGGCCGACATCAACGGCGACAACAAGCCCGACATCGTCGCCGCTGGCGACGCGATCGCGTATCTGGAGAACCAGATCACCAACGTGCAGCCCAACGGCTGGACCATCAACGCTGTCACCTACTCTGGCAGTACGTTTTCGGCTGACCTCCTGGCTCCGTTGCACTTCTCTTATGAGATCTTGGATTGGACTCATCTTCGTTCTTTGCAGGCCCGGTCGACTCTATTTTTGCGGCGGATCTCGACAAGGACGGATTCACGGATCTCGTGCTGGCGTCGTCGACCGGCGACTTGGTCTGGCTCAACAACACCAGCGGCTCCGGCACCGCCTTCGCCTCGAATGTCATCGCCACCGCCACGGGTACGCCCTCTCGGCCATCGAAGCTATTGGTTGGGTTCGTTGGCAGCTGCACGGTGCTGATCGCGTTGTCGTGTGTCTTCGTGTAGGCTCGGTCCAGGTGTTCTGTACCGACATCGACGGCGACGGTTACATGGACGTGGTTACGGCGGACAAGTCGAAGAACGCCACCACGCTCTACTACAACAACCTCGTCATCGCCACCCACACCCTGCCCTCGGGCAACAACAACTCGGGTGCGCACACGTCCTCGCCTTACAGCGGCGCATGTGTGCGTCAACGGTCGGACTTCGGGCCAAGCGACTCACACTTTTTTCCCCATTGTGTGTTCAGCCCCTGCTCAGTCCGGGTGGGTGGGCCTTTACGTGGACCAGGACCAGAACGCACCGGAGTCGGTCTTCGTAACCGACATCGATGGCAACGGGTACCAGGACATCGTGGTGGCCATCACCGGTGCCGACACCATCAAGTGGTACGACACGTCGGACTTCTACACCTGGGACGCCCACGCCGTCGGCGACGCTACCAGTACGTTACAGCTTCACTCTTTTCGCCATCGTCGCTCGTCCCCTTCGTCTCTAACAATTCGAAATTTGTTGTTGTGTTCACCGCCACAGGCCCTTCGTACGTGTATGCGCGCGACATCGACGGCGATTACGTGAAGGACGTCATTTTTGCCAGCGCGACCGGCAACCGCCTTGGTTGGTTCGAGGAGCTGTGCGCCACCTCGCTCCCCGATGGCGGTGACGGTACGCACGCACCATTTTGTCCCCTCTTCCCCCCTAAGACACACGCGCTCACATGCCCGCATGTGCGACGTCGCCTCTTTCAGACGATCATGTTGTGGGCTGGGCCGTTGCTGGAGGCGTGATTGGAGGTCTTTTGATTCTCTGGATCCTCGTCGCCATCGCTATCGCCATCCACGACTACATCAAGCACCAGATGCAAAAGGCGTCTGAGCAGAGGAAGAAGGAGGCCAAGGTACGTCCTTTCTCTCCTCCGCTTCATGCTACCGATTGTCACCCTTTGCTCACAACACACGATGCGACACGACACGACACACAACGAACAGTCCATGCTGCCGACCGAGCACGATGACCTGTAAGTAGTGGAAGTAGAAGGGTCAGGTTGGGGACAAAAAAGAGACGACAGAGAGGTGTGCCGCAGTACCGGATTAACGTTTTGATCATATTTATTTCTTGTACGCAAGATCACCATCAACTACAACAACTGCCCCTTCATAATCTCGAGCAAGCATCTTCATCTTTGGTCCCGTTTGCAACAAATCATTTCTCTACCAAGCGGAAAAGAAAATTGTTTTTTCTTTTGCTGCATCGATTTTGGTCATTTTACATCTTGCATCCCCGGCCAGCAGAAGAGAACCAAGAACTGCTAAAGATGCTGCGCGCCGGCTCTCGCAACCTCCGATCCAATCAAATCAAAAACCCCATTACATCATGGAAGATCGTCCGCGGAGACACTGTACGCTCCCTCCGCGCCAGCAACCATTTGAGCGGAATTTTTGCGGAGGAGGATCGCATTTATCAATGCAGCAAGCGAAGGACTGGCTGGTTAATGCCCCCCCCCCTACTCCATCGGATAAAAGGTGCAAGTGATGCAGGGGGCAGATCACGGAAAGAAGTCGGTGGTCATTAAAGTATCTCGAAAGACCAACCGTGTTGTCGTGCGAGGAATCAAATTGGTACGCTGCACACGCTACACGTTCCAGCAATTCCATCATTTGTTTGTATTTATTCTCTCTTTTTTTTCCGATTGTGTGCTGCAGGCCAAGCGCCGGATCAAGGCGACGGAGGAGTCGCAGGGCGGCTTCGTGTACCGAGAGCAGCCCATCCACTACTCCAACGTTTCCCTCGTCGACCCGTCCGATGGGTGCGTTGCACGCGCGTGTCGTGTGCTGCGTTGTGTGCGTGTGTCGTGCTGCGCCTGCGCCTGCGCGTGCGGCGATCACTCCTGCTTAACGATGGTTGCGTGTCATCGCGAGCGCAGCAAGCCGTGCAAGATCTCGATGTCGTACCTGGCGGACGGCACGAAGGTGCGAGTGTCCAAGCGCACGGGCACCGTCATCCCCAAGCCCGCCGAACTCACCGCCAAGCGCTTCAAGAACTACCTCGGTACGGCCTCACCGCACGCGCACACGACCACACATACACACACACACACCACACACACGCACCACGCACGCGCGCACTGACTCGTACGCGTCGATCAGATGGTGTGAAGGACACCAAGCCGGAGGTGGTGACGCTGAAGACCTTTGATGAGACGTCGCTGGTACCGGAGCTCGACGAGCTCACCATCGCCAAGGTCCACGAGAAGCTCCTCCTGGAGAAGGAGGAGGCCGAGCAGAAGAGGCTGGCCCGCGAGCAGGCCCGCGTGGCCTACGGCTTCAGCTCCTCCTCCGACGAACCCCGCAACGTCGGCAGCGACAGCAAGAAGGAGGAGGCCGAGGTGGTGTGATGACGATCGGGTGGTATGCGACCTCGTCTTTTTCAAATAATCAAAAAACTTTTTCAACAAATGTTTATGTGTTTTTTTATTTATTTGTTCATTTTTATTGTATTTCATTTTTGTTTGTGGGCAGTCGGAGAGAGTGGTGCACTACTCGTCGCCATCCTCATCCTCATCTTCGCCATCTTCCTCCTCCTCCTCACCGTCTTCTTCGCCATCCTCCTCGTCATCATCTTCGTCACCGTCATCGTTATCGTCTTCTTCCTCGGCGTTGTTCTTACCGCCGCCGGCAAGGAACTCTGCTCGCTTCCTCTTATGGTCCTCGTCCGGCTTCCTGTAGGCTTCGATGTAGAAGAGAGCCCTCCTCTCCAGCTTCGTCTCCGTTAGCTGGTTGTAGTTCAGTTTGATGTCCCGCGCCATCGCCTGCAGAGTGCACACACACAACATCGTCGCACACACGCATCATCGCACACACGCACACAACACGCGCATAAGAGTCGGCCCAACTCAGACGTGAAACACTGAGTGGGAGTCCGACCTTGAAGTTGGTGCCGTGCTTGTCGACGAGCGCCTTGTAGTAGAGCTCCTCCATCTTGGTCATCCGCTTGTCCTTGGGTCGTGGAGCCGGCTCTGGCACGTTGAACTCTGCATTGGGCGAAAAGGAAATCAATCACCAGATAATTAGGCATGCCAAAAAACAATCGATCGTTCTACAAAGATTGATTAATGAAGTAAATGGCGAAAATGTGGGCAGAATTAAATCGGAACTAAATGAGGAGTTTGGCAGAGGCGCACCAACAGGATCTTTGGCAGGAGCGTTGGTGGCGTTGGGATCGAGCTTCAATCTGCAGTGGCAGTGGTGAGGAAGGGGTTGTGCCATGGTCATAATCTCTTACAGATTAAATGGTACCCGAGATTGAGATAATTTTGGTGCGGCGATTTGTCCTTGTCCCATCGCTTTTTGATCTCCGGGTCTTCGAACTCGAGCTTCTTCTTGTTCTTCTTTGCGTTGAACCTGATCTTCTTTCGCATATGCTTCCTCGGACGGCGTGGCATCTTCGTGTGTGGGGAGAAAACTGAGATGCGGAAAAAACGCCACGAAGAAAAATGGAGAACAAATTGGTACAACTGCGCTACACACAAACATTGTCTCTCAGGCGCGTTCTGTAGTGAAGCCGTCCTAGCTCAGTCGGTAGAGCGCAAGACTCTTAATCTTGTGGTCGTGGGTTCGAGCCCCACGGTCGGCTATCTCCTTTTTTCTTGCGCAAGCACCTGTGGTACAAATTGCACACCGTGCGCCATTCTATTTGCCGGAGCCTGAGGGCCAAGTGTCGGGGGTGTAGCTCAGATGGTAGAGCGCTCGCTTAGCATGCGAGAGGTAAAGGGATCGATACCCTTCTCCTCCAATAACCTTTTTTCCCAAGATCAGAAAGCAAACGCCTGGAGGCAATGGGAGGCTGAGGGTCTGCATCACAACTAGTACAAAAGGTACAGCACCCAGTCCCAAGGGGAGTTGGAGGACTAGGTGGAGTTGGTGACCTGCTGGAAGGTGGGCCAGTTGACATCATCAATGCCAATCTTGTAGTCAGTGGGGTAGTAACTTGTGATCATTTGAAGTGAGAGGTCCAGTCATTTTGAAAAATGATTTTGTTTGTGAGTTAGGAGGAGATAAATTAGCAAACATTCTATTGTGTATGCATATGTGATAGAATGTCCTGCAGTTTCATAGCATGATGGGCTTTGAAAATAGCATGTATGCAATGGGGCAGTTACCTCCTTCAGGAGCTTCAACAGTTCCTTTGTTGTTGGCCATGGCTGATGGCAGGGTGATTTGCACCTACATGTTAAAAAAACTGAAAAAAACAGGACACTTACTTTATTTTGTACACAATGACTACATGTTCAACCTGCTGATACTAAGTTTATTGTGCACCTCTGAACAACTTCAAAATGTAAAAAATATCCAAAACTTCAAAACTGCCCTATAAATTGAAAATGTCAAATCTCACACAATTTTAGCACAACAAAATTTCCACAGTCATTTGTGACCTCTCATTTCAAATGAGTGCAAGTTTAGTGTGGGTCCTGTTGGATGAATCTGCCAGTACATCCATGGCACACTGGCCTCACTGATGCCTGCTGCCCAGTTGCAAAATGTTCTGTTGTGTGTGGTTAGTTGGTTGTGTGGGTTGTTGTGTTGTTACCTGGTCACTGGTGGCCTGGTTGAGTGGTAGAGTCATTGTTGGACATTGAGAAGTAGCAGGCACCCCACTCCTGAATGATGAGGTGCTTGCCTGAGGCAACAGCCTTGCTGACATAGGGCAGCAGTCAAGAGGTGGTCAGGTCACCCAGCAGGTCATAGGCATGGATGGTGATGATGTCCAGCACTGTGCAGCTGAACCAGTCCAGCTGCAGGCTCTCATCAAGCCAGCTCTCATTGCCTGGCTCAAGTCAGTGCAGAAGGCCCAGTTGGGCAGGTTGCTCTGGGCCTACAGGCAGCAGCAGAAAAGAAGAGAACCATCAGAAGGATGAAGAGGGACAAGGAAGTGGCAATGCTGTATTACCAGGTGGCAAAGGAGAGCAAGACCCTCAGCCTCCCATTGCCTCCAGGCGTTTGCTTTCTGATCTTGGGAAAAAAGGTTATTGGAGGAGAAGGGTATCGATCCCTTTACCTCTCGCATGCTAAGCGAGCGCTCTACCATCTGAGCTACACCCCCGACACTTGGCCCTCAGGCTCCGGCAAATAGAATGGCGCACGGTGTGCAATTTGTACCACAGGTGCTTGCGCAAGAAAAAAGGAGATAGCCGACCGTGGGGCTCGAACCCACGACCACAAGATTAAGAGTCTTGCGCTCTACCGACTGAGCTAGGACGGCTTCACTACGAGGACACGTCGTAAGAGGCAATGTTTGTGTGTGGCGCAGTTCTACCTACAAAGTTTGTTCTCCATTTTAATCTGCCCCGAAGAAACCAACCACCAGCAAAGGTGTCCCGCCTGCCTTGGTCTGGGCGCCCTCTTGGGCCGGGCATATGGGCTCACTCCCTTTTGTGTGTACCGGCTGCATCGCAAGGTATGTTGTAAAGATCGCGTTCCAATAAATATGTCTACATTGCTGGACGTGCGCGCTTAGGAGGACTTGGCGTGCAGGGCGGGGGAGTTGTAGATGACCGAGTCGGTGGTGTCGTGCACAGAAGCCATCACCACGCTGGCGGCAAGGGCGGCGAAGATGAGCATGACCGACGTCCAGATGACGATCTGGAAAGTGGCGATGTCGTCGCTGGTGGCGCCACCGCTGGTGCCGTTTCCGACAAGCATGCGCATCACCTCATCACCCTCGCTGAGCCTACGCGGACAAAGGAAAACACGGCTCGTTAGCACCGGTAACACACGCAGCAGTTGCGGCTTCGAGGAGTGGGCTGGGGGCGCACGCACCTGGCCACGGCAAGAGCGGACATGGTGCCCTCGGCGCAGTGAACCTCGAAGTTGGTGAGCGAGGAGGAGAGGTGCGAGCAGACGGCCTCGCTCTGGGTCTCGCCGTTGGAG